TGTTTGTCTCTCTGTACTGCAGTGTCTACTCGGGCTGTGTGGTGTGGAGTGTAACCTCCCTTTTACTCTCTCCTCCCTCGCTGTGGAGTGCGTGCGCGGCTTGCTCCATCAGCTTTTAAATGACTGATTGAGTGGACACCACAGGCCGATAATGAATAAAGATGGAAGCCTCTGTGAGGATTAATGCGCCTCATATGAAGACAAAAAGCCAGGTATTCCTGCATCTTCCTGGAGAACGAGGCCACCCTCCCTCCTCCTGTGTTACGCAGGGCTGACATATTGGGTGAGAGACATGCAGAGGCCCTTTTTGGCCCTGGGTTGAGCTCAGGTCTCCGGGCCCTGACACCAGTTGCTGTGCCAGGTTGGAACCTCTGCCATCGCCGTGTGTTCCTGAAATGTCGTGGTGAGAGGAAGTGGAGCAGATTTGCCAGCGGTGCTGAGAACAGGCCACCTGCCTTTCTCCTCCCACCGCTTTAGCGTCTCACATGCTGCCTCCATACTGAACTCCTCGCAGCCTCTGATGTTTCTCACCGAGCCCTGATTCGTATCTGATGGCAAAACAGCACGCCACCGGCTGCAGGGACTCCAACCTGTGCAAGCCCAAATTGAACATTCGTGCTTTGGTGACGAGCACGCGAGGCGTGAGCGCTCCAGCAAGAAAGAAGCCGTGGATCTGTTTTCACCTACGGAGAACAAAGAAGCTCCTTTACACACAGAGTTAACCAGCCTTGCAGCTCCATCACCAAAGCCACTACCACTACCAAAGACAGCCCAGCCTCATCTGTTGCAGCCCACACTCAGACCAAACGGACCCCAACAAGCAGAACACTGAAAGACAAATCCTATTTTAGGGGTTTTATGGTCCTCAAGCTAAACTCAAACACCACACGACTCTCACATTTGCACCAGCCTGTGTGCGGTGAGGTTAACAATAATAATTGTAGCGTCTGTGCCACTCTCTCATCACCCGCTCCTGTCAACACTTCCTCCGGCAGGGCATAAAACAAACCCTGGCCCCGGGCGTATAAACCCCCATTATGCCGAGCAGCACTTCTGCCCCACCAGGCTGTGCAATCTTCATCTTTTACTCTTAGTGTCCCTCCCCTTTAAACTGGTCCGCCGCTTTCCCCGTGGCAACAGATGAAACAGGCAATAACAAAATGCCACGCGATCATTAGCATTTTAAAATCAGGCCAAAGCACTACAGTAAAAAGCTGTATGTTAGTTCAAGGGTAAGTGCACCCAGTTCTTTGTTAATCTGATGTTTTTGCTTTTTGTGTGGATAACAAGGATTCGTGATGTAGCGTTATGAAAATGCTATTTTCTGCCCTTAACAGCTGCCCTTTGACACAGTGACAGTGTGCGTAAGTTGCCATGGTCGTGCGCTTGCTTCTGATGTTTACATTCTATCAAAGAAGACAGAAGAAGGACGAAGAACGCTTTTCATTAGTTAATCAAAGAACTTTATTTTTAATAAAGCTAATCAAAACAAATGTTGGTCAATAATAATCAGGTGACCGATCTGTGAAATCACAATGTTATGATTTATGTGTTTTAATGAATCACAGGACTAACTGAGCTAGACATCCTGATCCACATAAGGTAAACACATGACACATTGCTTCCTCCAATCAGAACTTCCTTTCTGTTGCTGGCAGAGTTCTGGGGTGTTTACTTAATCTGTTCACTCTGATTTGTTAAGAATTATAAACAACTGGGTTTAATAAAACAGAACAACGCCATTTTAATTCAGTTCCACCGCAAGTTTCAACGGCGTTCCAACGTGAGCTCGACCAGCTCTCAAATCCATCATCGCTAAGTGAAGTGCAGACTGGCCAGCTGCATTTTCTACTTTAAGCTGAGAACTGTCAAGCCGGGAAAATTCTGTCGTTTTACCAACAAGACGACGGTTCCTTCAGAATAAAAGCTGAACTCTCTACGTGACGCTGACACCTGCCGTTGCTACCGGGAGTCTATCCGTAGACTGGTTTGTCGTGCTGCAGACGCTGCGCTATCAGTTCCAGTGCCAAAGGAGGGTCCATGACCTGGCATTCCGGATCACACACGGGAGTCTCCGAAACGGTACGTAGACTCGGCATAGATGGCGTTTCATGTCTCTTCCTCCTGAAGTCCCTCGTGGTTAGTTAGTCAAAACAACATCTTACACTCAGACTCGTCCCGCATCAGAACGGAGCTCCTGAACTGACACACACACACCAACACTTCAGTTCACATCCATTTTCATCCATCATTAGAGAGTTAGTCCTGGTGATTGTTTCGAATAATTATAAAATAAATATTCTTAAACGTCCCATATTTCTCTTTTCTTGTCTCTAAGTCAATACAAGGTGTTTGAATAAAATTCCCTGTGGTAAAAACAACCTCTTCTGATTCTAAGGTACACTTAATAAAGTGTAAGAATATATCAACTATATCCCGCTACAGTGATCAACACAAGTGTTTCATTCGCTGCACTCCTTTGCTGACTTATTGTCCTGATGAGAGAATTGCAGTCCTTGTTTTATTTTACTTTCGCCAAACTCTAAAGAATCTTTTCTTCACGTTTAACTTAGTTTATGCTGGGATCTCACAGGAAGGTGCAAACATTTTGGTTTTATGCGTGTATTCCTTTTCCAAGGTCATGTTGTGGAGGTAACCGTTCAAGAAGGGAAGCCAGAGGTCCCTCTACCCATGCAGCTCTCTGGTGTGTTACCAGAGAGGATTACATAACTGCTCCCGTCTGCCTCAGGGTCTCCAGAGGGAACAACCAGCAGGCGTCCTAGTCAGATGCTCAAACCTAGTGTGTGTGTGTGTGTGTGTGCTCTGTCTTCTTGATCCCCAGTGAGTCGTGAAGGATGGCTGCTTATACTGAGCCAGGATCCTCTGGTTTCTTCCTGTTAAAAGGGAGTTTTCCTCTCCACTGTCGCTACACACTTGCTTAGTATGAGGATTGCTGTAAAGACTGACACTAGTCAGTGACTTGATGCAACCTGTTGGGTTCCTTATATAGATATTGGAATGTTTACTGTGTGAAGTGCCTTGAGACGACTACTGTCGTGATTTGGCGCTATATAAACAAATTGAAACCTCCTCAGCTGACTCCTTCCGATCAGCAGGAGCAGTGGCTCTGCTCAGAGTTCCTCACCCCACCTCCACTGATCACAATCCACGTCGTGAGCCCAGGTGAGGGCTGGGATGTAGACAGAATGGTTAACTGAGGCTTTGCCTTTTGGTTCAGCTAGGTTAAACCATGGTCTATTTGTCAACGCATACCAACATTTTTGGCGTAGAATGTGAATGACAATAAAATGCCTTGGGGGATTGCAGAAAGCACTACATAAAGGCTGTTCACCATGTAGACCCTGGTATATCTGAATTACTGAAGTTGGACTCACACCTAACCCAGAGGAAGACCCTCCCTCTCCGTTGAAGGAGTATGAGTACCCAAGTGTCTCTGGGGACTGCTAGTCTGGGGTGTGGACCCCTGGCAGGTTCTCCACAGACAAACTGGCCTTAGAGCAGATGGTAGATTAACAGGGACTCTGGGGTTATAAGGAAGGATCTCTCTACCAGGTGCAATGGAAGGTGGGGGACCTGGGATTGTTAAACCCCAGCGTTATAAACTCATTTTTCTCTAGATTTATTTGGTTATTTCATGAAAATCTTAAAAATGTGATATTTGTGAACAACTCTGGCAGCTCTCTGTCTCGACCATCCGGGGAGAAACTTGAACACAGCTGTGGCGGCCTGGCTGGCCCACATTTCTCTAAAACTGGAAAAGGACTGCAGAGAAAAGTTTCAAAATCCTGAGATCCAGATTTACAGAGTGATATGTCACTGAAGGATGTAAACACAGCCAGACATGAACTCATTCATCAGATCCATTAAACGTTATTTCATCGTTTTTTTTTTTTAAATCCTGGTCAAGCTTTTCAAAACCGAATCCCTGCTTTATGTTAAAAATCCCAAACCAGGAAAAGAGTATTCATTATTTATTCCAGACAGGCCAATACAGTTCGAGGCAGATCCATTTAGTTTGAAAATGAATAAGACCGCATTTTAAATTTTTTTGAATCAAATTCTTGAAAGCTGTTCACATACTCACTAAATAAAATAACAAGTAGAGGTGAGGTTTACCAGTTTGGGTCGTGTTACGAACATCTTTGCTGTTTAAAGCTTCTGAGTCCAGACAGGCACCACAGGGCCAGATGGATGGAGGTGGTGGGTGAAAAAGAGAAAGTAAAAAGCGAGACTAAACCGAGGCTCTGCGGGCCGGTCGGTGATTAAAGGATGGGAGGGATGAGCGTCGGCCTCTGAGGGACTAGTGTCTGTCTGTGTGAGTCCATGTGAAAAAGCAGGGCTGAAGGGCGAAAAAAAGCTCCCAAACAAGAACTCACTGTCACAGTCTCTTAGCAACCGTCTCTGTCTCCCAGGTGACAGGGTCTGACATCACTTCCTGTTGTGTGTACACTCAAGTAACAGCCCAAACTGATGTGTGTCATGCACGCTTTTCTGTGAGGTTCAGCAAAGTTCATGAGCATTTGGCTCCTATTGTTCCGCAGCTTCAGCATCCCTCTGAGTCAGGATCACGTTTAAGTCTGATCAAGCGCACCAGGATGCGTAAAGCAGACTGCATGCACATATATGAAGTGTGTAGCACGTGCACATGCAGCCACCCTTATCGTACATTATGCCAATGGAAACGCAGCCAACTGATGCCATCTGGTAGAACTACTTGGCACAGCACGGCCCTCTATGGTTCCTCGACATATTGGGAGTAGTTAAAATTAACACTGTTTGGCAGAAACAGACACTGAACTCTTTGTTACTGTGCCTATTTCAGTATCCATCCTTACCTTTAGAGCACAAGCAGCAGGAGCGTGGAGGCTTAGCGTGAAGACCGGCACGGCGCTGCAGAGAGCAGACCGAGTCTCTGCTCCGTTATCCAGATTCATTCAATCATTTGATTCTCAAACTAATTTGATGAATAATTAAACAAAGAAATTACAGAAATTTTTATTTCACCTTGATCAAAAGGACAAAAACAAACATTTTAAATAAAAGAGAACTAAACAGCGGTTTTCACTTTAATGTTGGGATGTAAAACTTGTAGATGAGTTGAGTTTATAGAGACTTAATGGACCGTTCTCCATGGTCCGGTCCAGCTGGTAGAACAAAGGATCCGCGGCCCACTTTTAGACCACTTACATGAAAGAAAAATAACACACACACACTCACGCACGCACGCACGCACGCACGCACGCACACACACACACACACACACACACACACACACACACACACACACACACACACACACACACACACACACTTTCAAGTTCCTAGTTAACTCAAGCTGAGAGCTGATGTTCAAAAGCCTGAAAATACATGATTTATTTCTTACTTATATCAAATATTTGTAGCAAAAACAAAAATAAAAGAAATAACAGATCTATGAGCCCAGAACTGCTGCTCGGAACTGACGAGAAATTATATTACAGAGTCCACCACGCTTGGTCAGAGCAGGTCCATGAGCATTTCCTCCTCTATCACACTGGAGACTTGGGACATCCCGGGCTGGGGCACGGGTCCCCTCTGACCTCCGGACATCAGCATCTGACCTGCACAGAAAAACACAAACAATTCTTTCAAAAGCCCCGCTTGTATCGCGTAACACCCAGAGTTTTACTCATGACATGGTGCGTTAAATATGTTCAAGGATTTTTAAACCAGCTTTTGACCTGCGAGGATTTCCTCTGCTGCCTGAACGTCCATCCCTAACAAACACAAGAATTTATTAAAGGCTTCTTTTATTGAAGATGCGTCTACTGCCCCATTTACAAAAGATGCTAAAATAATAAATAATTAAATGATAATTTTAACAGAATATAACCGAACTGTAGCAGAAAAGATCTTTCATAGTGTTTTGATTTTCTTTGTTCTAACAATTTTTATTAATAAAACTATGTAGCTAATCATCAGCCAAACCACATTATAGGGATGGGCAATAAATGGAAAATGTATCATTATCAAAATTCTTCCCATGTCAATACATTTGATAATAAAAAATGAAAAGATGTGTGTGGGTTGGCAACGTTCAGGTCCCTTTAAGAAGCTGTATCACCTTAAAAATGTGACTCAACGTAACACACGTGACAGTCCCATCTAGTGGACTACTTAAGTTTCTGTGCATACCTGTAGTTATCGTCCATTTATCGTTATCGAGGTGAAATGCTCAATATGTCGTGATATTGATTTCAGGCCGTATCGCCCAACCCTACGTGACATAAACCAACCTGGCAGCTAGATTGGCTGCTTTGATGTTTAAATCTGTATATAAACAAACCAGTACTAATACAGCTTTTACAGTACATGAGTATATTAGGATTATGCGACCAGTAAAGTATATGTGGAGCAAACGGAGCGATAAAAATAACCAAAGATTATAAAAAAGAAGAAGAAATCTTTCTGCAACTGAAGCAGAAAAATCTTAATTGAACTGCTGACCTGTCATCGGCTGCCTCCACTGGCCTTGCATTTGAGCCCCCCCTCCTGGTGCCGAGTGGACCAGCTGCTGTCCTAAGCCTGGATGGGACATCATGTTTGGCATGTGAGACACCGCATTCTGCTGCAAGGACACAGAGACATAAGCGGAGCGTTAACTTCGCCCGTAGAAGCGCAGAGTAAAAAAATCATGACTCAAAACAAAGAAGTAAACTCCAGCAGCTGTTCTTACTGGCTGCTGTTGACTCAGGAGGAGGCTGCGAAGCTGTGGATTGGCTCCGGGGTTCGGAAGTCGAAGTATGGAACCCGGAGGCTGTCCGCTCTGAGTGACCTGATTGGGCGGAGCTCCGCTAACCGCTGGCTGCTGATTGGCTGGTCCGGCTGCTCTCATCGTCATCTAAAAACATTTCAATCAGTTCATCAGATCTTGCAGCTCGTTAGCATCCCATACCGACACGAATCACACAACTACCAAGGAGCAACGCTGCAATAAAGTCTTTATAGCAGACCACCATCTAAACCGTTAAAAACATTAACTTTAACTCGCAAATATTATGAAACAAAGATTTTTGTTAATTTTATGTGTATTCGACTTCATTTTCCAACACTTTCTTCTTTCACTGTTTGCTTTACCTGTGTTTACCTAACAGCCTTGATCCAAACTTAGCAGAGGACACACAAGCTGCTTCAGTAGGAGGAGCTTGTTTCTAATCAGCTGAATGGAAACGTCTCCTGAAGACCTACTGCAGCGCCACGAGCAACGTACTGCGTGTATGAGAAGCTGTTAAATGTCATATAACTGGATCCAAAAATGTTTAATAAGCTTTTATATATATATATATATATATATATATATATATATATATATATGTATATATATATATATATATATATATATATATGTATATATATATATGTATATATATAAGTAAAACTAAAAAAATAAAATAAGGTGACAAAGTTGATTCATTTTAGGAACTCAACCTAAAAGCTGGAACTAATATACGAGGCAGACTCGTTCCATCCAAAGCCAGATATTTCACGTCTTTATAATAATTGTGATGATTATGGTTTACAGCTTATGAAACCCCCACATTCAGAATCTCAGATAATTAGAATATTGTGAACAGGTTCAATGCTGTGGGTTCAAAGAGTCACTCTAACCAGCTAAAGAATCCAAAACATCTGCAAAAAGTTCCTGAGCCTTTAGATCAGGGCTACTCAACTCTGAGTCTCGAGGACCACTATCCAGCACGTTTTAGTGGTTTCTCTGGTCCAACACGCTTGATTCAGTGGTTGAATCACCTGTGCAGCAGCTCATCAGGTTCTGCAGAAGCCTGTTAATCACCTACTAATTGAAATCAGGTGTGTTGAAGCGGAATTAAAACCAAAACGTGCTGGATACCGATCCTCGAGGCCCGGAAGTGAATAGCCCTGCTTTAGTTGAATTACTAAAATAAATGGACTTTTATACAAAATTCAAATGTTTTGACTTTCACTTGTAGTTTAAACACAGCTTAACAGCAAAACGCACGGTTTAGCTACATTCAAAACGAGCTGATAAAGTTCAAATGTACATAATTGTCAGTGCAAAAGCAAAAGGTTTGTGTTTGCATACAGTGATGTGCAAAAGTCTCAATTCAGTCCACATCCTCTTTTTGTCTTTTAAAGAAAGTGGACTCATTTTTTGTAACCATTTAAACGGTTTTCATCATGAGTCCTCCAGAAGAGTCTTACTTAAGTGCCGCTGTTTATCATTTGCAGACCAGCGCTAGTCCGTTCTTTGGTTCTAGCTTTTCTGTTGACCCGTTGCTTTTTCTTTACTGGATTTATATTTTTATTTTTCCAGAGAGGACTTTCATATACTGTTCATTTTTGGGATCAGACACCTATTTATTTACTTTTTTTTTACACTTTTCTCATTTTTTGGCACATAATTCACAAAATGTTCCAACAGCCAAACCCAAGAAGAAGATCGTGAACGAGTTGAGTCAAAGCCCGAAGGAAAACTTCAAGACCTTCAGAAAGTTAGAAGAAGTACTGATCAAGACCACCTTAAAGGATTACAGACATATGTTTGAAGTATAAAGACACAAAAGGATAACAGGAGAATTTTGCACAATATTACACACAAAACAAAGCATTATTTTACCCAGTGGAAAGTAAAAACTCGTCTCAAATGCTTATGAAGCCTTGAAATGAGTTTGTCATAACTATAGCAGTGGAAAAGTGAAGAAACAAGAAAAAAGGCAGTATCTGCACATGCTAGTTTGAAGGTTTTGGTTCTCACCATGTTGCTCTGCCTCTGCTGCTCCTCCATTATAGAGACCTGACTAACTGGTGTCATGCCCACCACCACAGACTGGATGGAGATAGAAGGAGAAGGGCAGCAGCAAGATGGAACAGTGAGAAGAATAACAGAAATGCAAAGGAAAGAGTCACCAGGTGCATACAGTCAAAGTGTCCTCAACAGGATGTGTGAGGAGAAAGTTAGTATGGAAAACCCTGCAGAAAGGACGTATTTACCTGCTGCTGGACGTTACCATGGGAAACAGGAATGGGACCAGGGGCTCTGTTCAGAAAATTCTGGTTGGGGGGAACCTGATTGGGCTGCATTGGACCCCCCGCTCCACCCATTTGCTGCTAGCATGAAAAATACCAACAAAAAGGAAGCAGTCATTAGTTATGTTTAATCAGAGAATCACCGTTATCTACTCAGTTTGTCCCAACGGCATAAATATAAACCAAACGTCTGGGAGTTAAAGCTGGAACTAAACAAGCGCCCCCTGTAGGCCAGTTCCAGTAAACAAAGGAGACATTTTTCTAAATGTGTTTCCAGGTGTTGGCTCGTGTTGATTCAGGTATTGATTATTTACTGACGCATGTTTAAATATTTACTTTTCTAATATTTGTGGTAGAAATGAGTCTACACTAGAAATCCAGACCAACCGCAGCAGTAGCTAAAGATTTTGCTCTGCAGGTTGGTCTAGCCCAACACTCTCACTATTGTGTCTCGCTGATCTCCGTAGCGGTTTCCTGACTACGCGGAGGAAGGGTTTGGCCTGTCTCTCCACACAGACAGAATAAGCAAAGCTCCGGTCGGCAGCCACAGGGAAAAGGCTCGCTAAAACACAGACAAATGTCCCCTAGCCAAATGCAACGTTTAAAGCAGAACACTGACCCAGAGGTTTCCTGATTGAGCAAATGTGTGAGAACACATGTAATGACTGCTGAGACTGAGCAAGCTAGTGGCTAGCCGCTATAAGAGAGTACGGTGTGTTTCTTCAAAGATTCACAATTGTTTAAGTCTGCATCTTAATGCATCGATTCTTAGATTATTCTCCTCAGCTCTACCGAGCACCTCAGCTAAACAAACGAATGGTGTGTGCCCGTCCAGAAAAAATGGCCCAAATGGACGACTCTACGATCTCCGAGCTTTGGTAGATCATCATAACATTATAATCCTTAAAGATCTCATATCGTCAGATTGCACAGCCCCACCTGAGGTGCTGGACGGTGGACTAGAATTTGTATGGAGGTCTTGCTCCATGGCATCACTAACCCCTCCCCCCACCCCAAGGACCAGCTGAGCCGCAGTCCACCAGTACCTATCAGCTGCCTCGGGAGTACCACAGGCCAAAAGGACTTGGCAGCATCCCTAACCACTGGTGTCCACCAGCCGCCACAACAGGCACTGACAGCCCTGCAGCCACAGATCCAGTCGGCTGCCTTAGCAATGGAGGCACCTTCCGTGGCACGTAGGCAGAGGGAGGCTACCCTCTCGTTCACGGGGGTAAACCCCAACATACAGGCACCAAGATAGGAGGGCAACAACCTCCTAGGTGCGTCTCAGAGTGGTAGAGTGTAAGCTCTCTCTAGGAAACTGGTTCTGGAGCCAGAGCTATGTGTCGACGTGAGCCTGGCTATATCTAGTCTGAACCTCTCAACCTTGCGCACCAACTTAGGTTGTTTCCCCACCAGAGAGGTGCCAAAGTCCCCGCCTCCAGCTACCACCCAACCCCTTTGGCCCCTCCCACGAGTGGTGAGCCCACGGGAAGATATTCATTTAAATTTTAAATCCAGCTAATTTAATTGCAACTAATTTAAAAAAGAATAAATAAAGTAAAACAATAAGATGTAATCAACAGAGAGGTTTATATATTGAGACAAAATGAACAGCAGAAATCATTCTCGAACAATAACCATGTGCAGGTATTGTTTTAGGTTAGTAAACAGGATTCCTACCATCCCACCATGACTGTCCACATCCTGACAGTGAGGCATTCTGACACACTCCTGCATGCATAAAGTATATTTACAGAACACATATTTGCTGCATGTAATTGGCATTTACTGTGCTAACAATGCTGAAAGTGTGCGAGGCTGCATTTTCACCTTCTTCTGTGGCGAGCAGATGGAAAGTGAAAACAAACACGGAGGATAATGTAGATTTAACTTCAAGCACCACCTGCTGAGGTGTTTGCCATTTCAGATTTCACGCTTTTTAAACAAACTCAAGCTTGAAGACTAAACTTGTTAGCATAATCTGGAGAGGCGGGGGAAACGACAAACAAATATCACTTAAAAATAGGAAACAGTAACAAGAAAGGAGGTATCCCGGCTTTAACCAGGCAGCAGAAAGATGAGCTGAGGAAACTCGAGAATAAAAAAAAAATAAACCTAAAATTCTAATATTGTCCTGATTCTGACACTCTACCGGCACAGTTCTTTAGTTTTAAATGAATATGAGGAGGAGAGCTGCTCCTGAGCTCCTGTGCTCTGCAGGTGCTGTGGTGAATTGTGTGTTTCCACACTGAGGGAGACGCAAAGGGGGGATGAAGGACGTTTCATCTCCACACCGAGTAAAAATTATTAACTTTGGGCTGAGGGAAATGTGATGGAAAAACACCTTCACCCATCCATCTTACTGAATCTGAACAATTCATGGTGGGATTGTGCTACAGGTGCTGGCCAGTAAATTAGAATATCATCAAAAGGTTGAAAATATTTCAGTAATTCCATTCAAAACGTGAAACTTGTACATTATATTCATGCAATGCACACAGACCAATGTATTTCCAATGTTCATTACATTTAAATTTGATATTCATAAGTGACAACTAATGAAAACTCCAAATTTGGTATCTCAAAAAATTAGAATATTCTGAAAAGGCTGAATATAGAAGACACCTGCTGCCACTCTAATCAGCTGATTTACTCAAAACACCTGCAAAGGCCTTTAAAAGGTCCCTCAGTCTTGTTTTGAAGGCACCACAATCATGGGGAAGACTTCTGACTTAACAGCTGTCCAAAAGACAATCATTGACACCTTGCACAAGGAGGGCAAGACACAAAAGGTGATTGCTAAAGAAGCTGGCTGTTCGCAGAGCTCTGTGTCCAAGCACATTAACAGACAGGCGAAGGGACGGAAAAAATGTGGTAGAAAAAAGTGTACAAGCTCTAGGGATAACTGCACCCTGCAGAGAATTGTGACGACAAACCCATTCAAAAATGTGGGGGAGATCCACAAAGAGTGGACTGCAGCTGGAGTCAGCGCTTCAAGAACCACCACGAGGAGACTCATGAAAGACATGGGATTCAGGTGTCGCATTCCGTGTGTCAAGCCACTCTTGAACAAGAAACAGCGCAAGAAGCGTCTCGCCTGGGCCAAGGACAAAAAGGACTGGACTGATGCTGAGTGGTCCAAAGTTATGTTTTCTGATGAAAGCAAGTTCTGCATTTCCTTCGGAAATCAAGGACCCAGAGTCTGGAGGAAGAGCGGAGAAGCACAGAATCCACGTTGCATGAGGTCCAGTGTAAAGTTTCCACCGTCAGTGATGGTGTGGGGTGCCATGTCATCTGCCGGTGTTGGCCCACTCTGTTTCCTGAGGTCCAGGGTCAATGCAGCCGTCTACCAGGAAGTTTTAGAGCACTTCATGCTTCCTGCTGCTGACCAACTTTATGGGGATGCAGACTTCACCTTTCAACAGGACTTGGCACCTGCACACAGTGCCAAAACCACCAGCACCTGGTTCAAGGACCATGGTATCCCTGTCCTTGATTGGCCAGCAAACTCGCCTGACCTTAACCCCATAGAAAATCTATGGGGTATTGTGAAGCGGAGGATGCAATACGCTAGACCCAACAATGCAGAGGAGCTGAAGACGACTATCAGAGCAACCTGGGCTCTCATAACACCTGAGCAGTGCCACAGACTGATCGAGTCCATGCCACGCCGCATTACTGCAGTTATTGAGGCAAAAGGAGCCCCGACTAAGTATTGAGTGCTATACATGCACATTCTTTTCATGTTCATTCTTTTCAGTTGGCCAACATTAGAGAAACAAACATTTTTTTCATTGGCCTTTAGAATATTCTAATTTTCTGAGATACCAGATTTGATGTTTTCATTGGTTGTCACCTATAAATATCAAAATTAAACGTAATAAACATCGGAAATACATTGGTCTGTGTGCATTGCATGAATATAATGTACAAGTTTCACGTTTTGAATGGAATTACTGAAATATTTTCAACCTTTTGATGATATTCTAATTTACTGGCCAGCACCTGTAATACGTGGCACGCTCTGCGACCGACAACAGCAGTGAAACCCGCAGCTTTGTGTCTTTTAAGGGAAGTAATGAAACAGCTGCTTGTTCCTTCTCTGCCGTCTGTGATTCATCTCCTGCCTTCGACCCAGTGACCTGTACGATCCTGGATGAAGAGCCTGCATCACTTACAAAAGAATAATATTCCGACTCGCTGAAAAAAGGAACACACTGCAAAAAGAATGCCACTCTGGGGCTCTGCACAGAGAAACCTACTGGTCCAAATTGAAATTTTAATTACGTTAAGACTGCAGGAGCACTTCCTTATTAGCAATGCAGTGTTGAATATGCGATGATACACAAGAGGCAGAAAAAAAATACGTCTTGGTTAAAATTTCATGTCTCCTCTAAATGCCCCGGTGCTCATACTTACGAGTCACATACTGGGCCGACGTACTTTATGTGAAGACGTTACATTAACAGGATGAGTAGACAAGCGCTATCAACACTGATGAGAGCAGCGCACAAACAGAAATGTAAACCAACTCATGTAAAGTCGACAAGAAGCTTTATTTTTTAAAGAGTAAGGCGCTCATCATCTGGCAGGTTGTTGCATTGTTTAACAGTCACGCAGCACTTCTCCAGGAGCCGCTTGACGGAGGAGACGGCTAATCCAGAGAACACGTTCTAAATCTCCTCGTCTTGGGCGAAGAAGATGAGCAGGGAGAGGAAGTGAAATTTTTATGTCATGTGAACAAGGTGGCAGTTTTTAGCCTGTAAAGAATTCAGTGACGAGGACAGGTCGACCCTGGCCACTGAGACAAAAAACAAACAACAACCTGAGCATTGTCTCCTGATGTTCTGATCACATCCCTGAAGATCTGCACTTCCATAAGGGGCACATCTAAACAGTCTGAAACATAAATACCCCGCTCTGTTGTTTAAAGTGATGGTGTGTATTTTCCCTGGCGGTAGGGGGTAGTACATACCTAAAATCGTTGTAAACAAGCAGTATTTTGTGTTCAAGTAAGGCCTTACCAACAGATGGCCATTAGGGCCAAAAAGAGTAATTTTCAAACAAATACTTTGTCAAATCTTTTAACCTCCAGCAAAATGACAAGCCCATCAGACTCTCTTTCATCACTGGCAACGTGTGAAGATTTAAGTGTGTAAAACAACGTTTATGAATGGAGAAAGTTTAGTCGCCCAGAGACTTAGACCAGCGCCAAAGTATTTTAGACCTCATTTTTATGGTTATATGTTATGAAGCCGCCAACATTTTCAACAACTGGGCGTCATTTAATTCACTTTCAACGACATTTCGATGGATTTTTCCTGAGATTAATGGTAAAAACTACACACTGTCTCTTAAAAGCTGAACGACACAAACAAACATGTTTGAAATTATGTTCTAAAAATGCTTGATATTTTATTTCCTTAAAAGACCTAAGAATTTTAGTTTTTTTAAAGATTGAGTCATTAGATGGTTTTGTGATTGTTTCGCTGTATTACTTATGGGAACTTAAAACTAGCCTAGAAATCTAGACAGAACGTAGCAAAAGCAAACTGATGCTTCTCAGCAGGTCGGTCTGGCCAGTTCCTTTGGAGACACAGCAGGCCTACCACTGGCCTTAGCAGTATTGTGTTATGTCAATCACAGTGCTCTGTCGGGTTGATGGGCGAGGTGATGCAACGGAGCGAAAGAACTAACCCCCACTTCATACTGGAAGCATCAGTGGCGTGTAACAGCCGCGATACATGACAGTTTGAAATTAAAAGCCATTATAGTCAATGGGGGTGATTCAAAGTAGTTACGAAGCAGAAATTTTCAGCTGCATCCCAGAAGCGACAAGCCGCGTCGCTAAAGGTACTCAGGTTCCATTGTTGCCGCGAGACACCTCTGGGACATGACACCTTCTGCGGTAATATAGGGCTAGACAGGAAATCACACACTGTTTCAGAGTAAAACCCAGAATAATTTTCCAAATGAAAGACTATCGCAGCGATAATTTCATATCTATATTGATATGACCTCCTGCTGCTTTGCACTCCCGGAAGCGATACAAATCACGGGTGAACGAGCATTTGTGCATGCTGCCCCAAAGCTGTGGCAGGCTCCATCATTGGCGGTTTTTAAATCTCGTTTAAAGACCCACTTCTGTGATGTGGCTTTTAGGCAGTGACTCGTTTTATTGTTTTAATGTGTTTAGTATTCCTCATGTTTTATCTGCTTTTGATCGGTATTCTTATCTTCTGTTTTAGTTGCTTGGATTGGTCAATACAAGTGACCTAGCGGCTTATTTACTCCCAGCAGCGTTCCAGAAGTGCAGTGGTGTGTTGGTCATGGCTTTAATCCTGGCAGTGGAGAAGAACATCATCAAAGCGCTAAATCAGACGTGATTTCCTTCTCTTTGGTTTAATGGCGGATGGCGTGAACTTGAGGGATTTTGTGATCTTGCGAACCCAGCGAGGAGCACGGCAGGGAAGCAGCTCTGTGGCTGAGACTCTCCCGGTGTGTACTGCCCCATTGACTGACATCCACTGACTGATCGGTAACGGTGAGTATCGTAGACAACCGTAGGTTCCACCTCATAACTGAGCTCTGGGTCGTGGCCAGACTATATACTCACATACATAGGATGGCTTGCCAGGCTACCATTAAACAGCTTCTTATTCCAACGTGTCATGAAATGCCATTTTATAAACTCTTGTTCACTTTCGCTCTTCACAAGGATTTACATGGAATTCTTATGCTATTAAAAGCATCAATATCACAGCAGTGGCACAATGCACGAGTGCACGCAGGGGTGAAGCTCAGCACAAGTCTTTTGATAACTCTGCCAGAATACTCTTTAAAAACTAACCACAAAGTAAAGTTTTATCAGACAACACTGTCATCCCACCGGTCCCTTCTCCCGTCTCCACTCACCGCTCGGTGTTGCTGGACCTGCTTGTGGTTGGTGATCACTTGCCGTATGCCGTTGACGAAGCCGCTCTGGTCGTTGGGGATGAGGCCCATGAATATTTTCTTCTTGGAAGAGTACAGCAGCATCAGCACTCGCACCTCACATGGCGAAGTGGTGTGAGGAAAGTGGACACAGCCCGCCTGTGGAGGGTCACAGCGTAGATTAAGACTCCCAACATGAGACCTGGCTGTAATAATGTGATGGGCTCACGCTTGGGGACACAACCTACTTCTGAGCTGCTCTACCCAATCAAACATACCCGCTTTATGAACTGAATGCAAATGGTATTAGCTTCATTGGTATTGTGCCTTCGCTGGGTGGTGAATCAAAATCTCCAGAGCAAGAGCTCAGCTGTTCTAAACTCTATTAACGCCTTACTCCATTCTTAGTATTTCTAGCATCACATCAAACCAACCTAAGCAGTAATGCGCACATTTCGGAAATGACCATTTTGGTCCTAAAAGATGACATGTTTAAAATAACCCCCAAATTCCACTACCTCCGCTCCGGTCCGCCCCGCCTTCCGCAGCCGCTCGCTTCCGAACTCAATTTTTCTTGGTACCCGCTCTACAACGGCTCCGCTCCGGTGCGGAGACCTGAGGTGGGCAAACAAGCATGCGCGGGATTTTCGAGATCTTGCGATACAGTCCGAGCAATAAACGCGGAAGTTGGATCCAAACACCCGTTGTGTGGGAGAAGCATCGGCATGAACTGTTTAATCTGCCCATCATTTGTGTTGAGAGATCAGCAGAGTTTGGATCAACAAAGGGTGACTGCTTTGATAGTGGAAACTGTATTTATGGCTTATTTTTGTGCATTTAAACTTCAGCCGCCATTGATAGTTGTTAAAAGTTGTTAAACCTGTGCATATGAAACAAAAAACGCCTTTTGTTTATCGATTTATTGTGAAAAACGGAAGTTGTGCTTGCTCCTTTTCCTGTTGGGCGGTTGTGATTTCTGTCCATTGACTGCGGAGGAGCTCTGGCGTCCGGCGAAAATAGGATCGATTCTATTTTTGCCGGATGCTGGAACAGAGGGCGGCGCACTGCGCCGCACTGCCGGAGCACGGCCGCAGTAGTGGAATTGCTCTGATTGACTACAACGGGACCGATTTTGCTCGGGCGTTCGTGTCGGAGCGGAGGTAGTGGAATTTGGGGGTTAAAAGTAACAAACTCAAATGCCAACAGGCCTCCTACAGGGTTAATAAAGGACAAGGTTCCAGGGGCTGAAACTAAAGCCAGCGTCCACTCATGGAAAAATGTTAGAAACACACATTAAGTCAAAACTCACAAAACCATTGGCCATAATGCGGTACAGGCCCCGCAGCGAGTCCAGGTCCTTGTTGTTAAAGAGAAACTGAACCATTCGCGAGTTTCTGAAAAGGTGCCCTAAGGTTGTCTACAGGAAAAACAGCCAAAGAAGAGTTTAATTACACACCAATACTAAAGAGGAGTCAGCATAACACTTTAATGTGCGTCAACAAAAATAACAACAAAGCTGTCCCACCAGTAACTGCTGTGGGATCAGCTGCATGATGAGCTTCTGGGGCCACTGCTCTGTGTTTCTGTTAGGAGACAGAAAAACGTCACGTGTGACGCCACAGCTCACATAAATCAGATAAACACAATATTTAAACTGTTTAAGACGGGTCCGTGATCTGATGGCAGAATTTTACATTGAAGATGCTTTTTGGACGATGAAGACAAACGGTTCAAATGAGAGGAACGTTAGTTTGATCGGTCATCACCAAAATACCTTAGAGATGTGAATTTAAAAAGACTGCAGATACGTCCTGCAATCTAATCAAATGCTGAAAGAAGGAATGCAACTTTAAAGGCACCAAGAACTTTCTGAGGCAAGAATAAAGAACAAAGCCAAACAAGATGGAGAACAGGGAGGAACCCAGAAGAATTCCACTAAATAAGACAAATAACAGATTATTGTCATAAAAACTACAGTTCAAGCACCAATTAAGAGATTGTCAGCATAATTTAGAAGCTAATAAAACACCCAAAAACGACAAACACTTGAGCAGAAATCTCAGTTTACTTCATCACCAACAATCTGATTCACTAGGAATGATTTATTCCACATTTTAACACGTCTACATGAAGTCATAACAGCTTCAAGTGCTTCGTAAAGATGGATAAAAGGCCTAGACGTCTATGAAGGAGTGCTGCTGTGGCTGCCATCGTGAACTGGGTTGACTCCAAAAGTCAATTAGTTATAGAAATACATTTAATGCAGAATTACTGAGAGTTTTATTCAAATCTGTCCAGTAGCTCATGAGATATTTTCCTAAACACACACATTTACACACAGGCAACACATCATTGGCTGGTTTTAAATCCACTTTATTTATTTTGATGAATAAAGTTGACATAAAAGCACATGTTTTAAAAATGTGTTATTGGCGCCTTTAAGAAGACACAAGATACCTGGCTGGGAGAATATTTATCCAAGCTAAGGTTGGTTTTCCAGTTACCCTCTCCACCTAGTGGTGTAATAGGGGTATTTCAGCATTTTCTGTCAAAATTTCAATTCAATTCAAAAATACTTTATTAATCCCAGAGGGAAACTGATTGCTGTAGTAGCTCATAATAATAATAATAATAATCAAGTCATTAAAGAGTTGTTGTATATTACAATGGCTGTTGGCAGGAAGGATCTCCAGTAGCGGTCGGTGTTGCAGCGAAACTGAAGAAGCCTCTGACTGAAGACACTCTTCCGTTGTCGGACAGTCTTGTGAAGATGATGCTCAGGGTTGTCCATCATTTTCTTGATTCTCTGGAGAATCCTTCTCTGCATTATCTCCTCCAGCGGTTCCACAGTCGTCCCCAGAACAGAACCAGCCTTTTTATTAGGCTGTTGAGCCTTTTCAGGTCCCTGCTTCTGATGCTGCTACCCCAACAGACGATGGCTGAAGAGATTACACTCTCAACAACAGACTTGTAGAAGATCTGCAGCATCTTGCTGCAGATATTGAAGGACCTAAGCGTCCTCAAGAAGTGCAGTCTGCTGTGTCCCTTCTTGTAAACAGCTTGGCTGTTCTTTCTCCAGTCCAGTCTGTTGTCCAGGTGAACTCCAAGGTATTTGTATTCCTTAACCTTCTCCACTTCTTCTCCCATGATGAAAACAGTGTTTGACTCCACCCTGTTTCTTCTGAAGTCTAAAATCATCTCCTTTGTTTTGTTAACGTTCAAGTTCAGATGATTGTTTCCACACCATGCCACAAAGCGCTCCACCAGCTCTCTGTACTCAGCTTCCTGTCCATCTCTGATACACCCGACAACTGCAGAGTTTGCATTATCAGAGAAAGAAAATCTATTTAAACTAATATCTGGAGTGGTATAGACGGAGCCTTTAGTGAAAAATTATCTGGTGTGTGACTCATGTTGCTGATTAGTGTCTGTCAAAAACATTAATCTTTATTTTTTGGATTCCTCCCCGGTTCAACCGTCTGTTAAAATGAAATATTTAGGAGCTTGGCTGGAGCCAGAGCTGTCTTTTAAATTTCACATTCACACAACATGTCTTAAGGTCACACGGTGTTTACGTATCCTTTATAACTCAATAAATTGCTTTGAACCTATTGTACGAAAGCGCATCGTCACTCAGCTTCTGTTGCCGATCATTGATTATTCTGATATTTTATACCAAAACTCAACAGTTTCTAGCCTGCGGTCCCTTGATGTCGTCTATAACAGTTTGTGTCGTTTCATTTTGAGGTGTTCGTTTAACACTCATCATTGTTATATGTATGATCTTCTTGGTTGGCTGCCTTTAAAAGCTAGACGACAATTTCATTGGTTGATATTTATGTTTAAGTGCATTTATTTTGATTTCCCACTTTATCTAAAAACACTTTTGGTTCCCATTGATTCCTTGTATTCCACCCGCTTAACTACTCTTCCATCATTTGTTGTTCCTCGTTTTAAAAAGGAGGTGGGTAGACTCGCATTTTGTGTTAAAGCTCCTCAGGACTGGAATAAATTACCCACTGAATTAAGATCCATCTCAACAATTCGTCAATTTTCCCGCACTGTTTATGCTTATGTAAAGCCGAGCTGTAGTTGCTTTGTTTAATCTTTACTATAATGATTTTGTGCATTCACTGGCTAACATGCTGTATTTCGTTGCCAAACTTTGTATTCAAATGGGATATTACTTCACTTTAGGTTTATTTACAATGTAATTTCTTGCCCTTATTTCTCTTTGAGTGCCTCACAGCAGTTTTATTTAATTTAATTTTGTATATAGGTATGTATGTACGTATGTACACATGTGGGTATCTATGTATCCATGCTTATGTGTTTATATTTACGTGTGCATATATATATTTATACATATCGTTAATTTTACTATTATTTACTTTCCTTCTTTTTTTTTAAGTCTGTTATAACTTTCTAACTCTGCCACAGTATTTGTTATTGGTTGTGTTGTAGGAGGACCTGCTCGAAAACGAGATGTTACATCTCAAGCAGTTTATCCTCCTGAAAAACATAAGTTAAATAAATAATAATAAATAAATAAATAAATAATTTGAAACTGTGAGGTCAGACGTTGGTTTTAGCTACTTACAGATTCTCTCCTTGGTTGACGTGAACTTGACACGGTAGAGAACGTGTGAGTTTGGTGGCTGAGTCCATAGACGAAGCTTTAGGTTTCTGTGGGGATAAAAATGGAACATGAAGAGTAGACAAAGGGAGAAAGAAGCAACTTCGTGCCAGCAAAGTTCGCAGAGTTTCACCGACTTAGTAGTGAGAAAGTGCCGTGATCGAATTTGGTCGAATGACTGTCCTGCAGGTTGTGGAGCTGATGAACAAGACAGCAGCAGAAGCTCAACGCGTTGAGCGGGTTGTGCAGTAATCGGAAGGTTCGACCCTGGCTCTGGACAGAGAACTCTGCTGTTGTGTCGTTGGGGAAGACACACTTAAAACCACTCAAACCGCCTTGCCTGCTGGTGGTGGTGGGAGGGACTGATGGCGCATGTGCTCGGCAGCTTCGACTCTGTCAGTGAGCCCGAGCGCAGCTGTGGCTACACCGTAGCTCATCCCCACTAGCGTGTGAATGTGTGTGTGAATGGATGAATGATAAACTGTGGTGTAAAGCGCTTTGGAGTCCGCTGACTCTGAAAGGTGCTACACAAGTGCGGGTCATTTATAATTGATCGTAAGACAGTAAGTGTCCCAGTACATCCGGAGTTGTGAGTGCTTCAACAATTTTTCTTTTGGTTTTCCTTCCATCCAGAAGGAAGTTAGCAGCAGCCCGGCCTAGCCTTAGCAGTGGCTCAGGATAGCATTTGCAGTAGTCAGGGCTAGCACTGTTCTGCGATTAGTGTTCCCAAGACCAACATGTATATAGTCCAGTCACTGAAGTGGGTTGGTACATGCAGATGTAAGTGGGAGTAGCTTGCTTATTATGCGTCATCGGAACGTTCTCTATAACCAATCGCTTCACCCTCACTCTTCAAGAAGGCTAATTTACATAGAAAGCCACTCAGACACATCTGAGTATTTGGTGTGCTACATTTGATCACCCAAGCTGTCTTTATTCAACAAAAAACAACAAGATACATGTGGCTTGGCATTCTACTGCCCTTTTAAGACAACCCTAAACTATTTAAATTGAATTGTCAACCAATTATAGAACATAATGCAAGTCATAGATGTGATACATTTATCTTTGCAGTGAGACGTGTGCGGCTGAGCAGTGGCTTTCTGCATCAAAAGCTCTACAGCGAACTCAGAAAAGGATTTAGAAGTCAGAGTAGCGCCAAAGTGCAATTAGAGAGCACCGCAGAGGTAAAAGACATGTAGTCTGTCCTGCTCGATCTTTTGTCAGTGACCCCAATCAGGACAAGCAATTACCAAAACTCCCATCAGGAAACCTGCCAGCTCTCATCTTCAGGGGATCAATACTGGATAAATGATTAATCAATCACACATTAGTCAGGTCTACTGTACTCAATTACAGATTTATTGTGCTGAAGACAAATGGGTAATTTATTTTAAGTGCTTGCTAAAGCAGAAAGGACACTGAGCGGAGATGTAGAGAGTAACAAAACAATTCATCTGCCTTAAATTAAAAGGAGTGTGAGTGTGTGTTAGTAAACCCCACTAAGTTACACCACACACGCACGCACGCACACAGATTCCACACTGAAACCCAGCCAACATCATATTAATAAAACCATATTTTGTGCAAACTCCTGCCAAGTCCCATTGGCTTCTCTCTGCTGGCTTTTACTTTGTGTCTTTTTAATTTTTCACAAAACATAAATATAAATAAAAAAGGTAAATACAATTCCCCCCTTAACTGCTCAAATACCAAAAAGAAAGCCTAATGGGTTAACCTGAGCAGGAATTGCCGATTAGGAGCATTTTTTTGTGTGCCTCTATTTCAGTCTGCCATTGTGTTTGACTTTAAAAACAATAGATTTCCATAGCTTCTCATTCTTATTGAAATCAATTTAACTGACTCAATAACTCTGACATAACAGATGAGGGAGGACGAGGCTGGGGTCGATGGAGGGGATCGATCCGGGCCTGGCCTCCAAACACAAACACACAAAGTCTTCATGAGCTTCACATAAAAGCTGTTCACATCAACTCTCCAGGTTGAGTAAATGGGATTGATCTGACCTAGTGTCAAACCGATGAAAGCAGGACAGGAAATGATGTGTCATTAATTATACTATAACGTAATCAATAGCAAGTGGTTATTAGCACTAATCATATGATGGATTCTGGACGTGTTGATGATCGGATAACTTTGTGCAGCTATTTAATTTTAATCTCATGAAGAACTGAAACAAGACAGTAACTAGAAATCCCCCCAGGAAATATGTTTGTTCTGTAATTGCTGCGGGTGAGATGAGACGATGATACTCGTTTAGAGAATATAAAGCTGGATGCGATTAGCTTTTTAGCATAGCATTAATTATGGAAATCGACGAACTTGTTTGTTTCTTTAAGAAGGTAAGAAAGCCACACTGTGAATCTTCTAAAATTGAAACTTTGACACTGATGTAAAAGTCTCAAACGTTTCAGATCGTAAAACAAATTCTAAAGACCTGAGTAACTGCACAACAATTCATTCGTTAGGGGAGCAGAGCCATCAAAAACAACCTAAGGCCCCGTGAGAAAACGTTACTGACCCTTGAACTTATTAAGAGGTTATAACACCACCGGAGACGACTGAAATCATGGGTTTGTGAGAAATGAGTGTTCTCCCACTCATCTTTACAGAATGGTCTAGTTTCAAACACAGAAGCTAGTTTTTCTACATCAACGCTTGCTAAAGGTCAGACGTTCTCCTTTAGGATGTTCTCCTAGAGTGCAGGTACCGTGGTTCCATCAATTACAGCAAGTGGTCCTGAAGCAGCAAAGCAGCCACGTCTGACTGTTGGTATGATGGGTTTTCGACTAGATAGAACGGCACACACACACACACACACCTTCTGGAAAGTTTTATTTTCGCTCATCATGAGATTTACACTCAGCTCAAAGAAATGAACTGTGCTCCAGGCAACGTTTCTTTTTTGACCAAATACCTGTGAATTTAAAAAACTGTGAATTGTTTCTTTACCTCCTGCCACTCCAACACGCCTGTCCATGCCACGATCTTATTGGCTACACCTTGAGGCTGTCCAATGGAATTTGGATTGACTTGACCTGCAGCCACAGCAGCCTGTAAAGAGAAAAGGAGCTTAGACGGACTCTACAGGTTTGCAACCAAAACTTAACAACAACCAGAAACTGTACTAAATGTGTACTTTTCAGTTCCAGGTAGGGCTAGGCGATATGGGCTAAAAACCAATATCACAAAATATTGAAGAGTTCACCTTGATAACGATAGATGGACAATAACAGCATTTATGTGCAAAAACTAAAGCTTTCCACTAGATGGGGCTGTCACGTGTCTTACGTTGAGTCACGCCTCATGTCACTTGAAGTGGTGCAGCTTCAGCGGCTTGAACATCGCCAACCTTCAGGCATCTTTTTTTTAAATTATCGAATGTATTACAGTAGGAGTCACCGCTCATCTGGGTGAGGTGCTGAACCAAAAGTAGAAAAAAAGACAAGAATCCGCACACTTCAATCTGCGATGTGAGAGCTTTATTTGTCGAGCTTTCAGTCAGAGACCTTCTCAACTCCTGATGAAGGTCTCTGACCGAAAGCTCGACAAATAAAGCTCTCACATCGCAGATTGAAGTGTGCGGATTCTTGTCTTTTTTATTATCGAATGTATTGACATGGAAAATGTATTTCGGTTCAAATCGGAAATTTTGATAGTAATACATTTTCGATGTATCACCCAGCCCTAGTTCCTGGTAAAAATACATTCTCACGTAGGATTGAAGCAACAAAGAAGACAAATTATTTCTTTTTCCTGTACTCAGAACTAGCACATTACCAATTCATCCTAATATTAAACTTCAGACAATATGTTCATCTGCAAACAGCTGCTGCTTCTGGTGGTCTTTTAATTTCCATGGCACCACTTCCGTTAGGAAATATTTTTTTAAATGTTCTTAAATTTATTTTGTGTCCTTTTACTCAAACAGTGAAGGAATGCCGTCAAGTTCTTCCCTTTCTGAGGAGACCTGCTGACAAGACAGCTAAACATGAACAGGGTAGAAAAGTAGGGCTGGACGATTTAGAAAAAAAAGCTATAACAGCTATATCAATAATTATTGAAAAATATTTAAAAGATTAGGGGCTGCACAGTGGCACAGTGGCTAGCGCTGTTGCCTTGCAGCAAGAAGGTCCTGGGTTCACATCGCAGCCTGGGGTCTCTCTGAATGAAGTTTGCATGTTCTCCCTGTGCACGCGTAGGCAGTGGCGTGTCCAGACCTTTTAAAATGGGGTGGCCCAGGTGGGGCACTTCTTTGTGCATGGGTGGCACCTATGGTTATGCTTTTTTATACCAAGTCTTGTGGACAATGTAAAGTAATTAAATGGAATTCAGAGGAGAGGTACTTGGGGTGGCCAGTCAGATTCCAAGGGTGGCATGCGCTACCCTAGGCCACTCCTTAGACACGCCTCTGTGCGTGGGTTCTCTCCGGGTACTCCGGCTTCCTCTCAGTTAAAAAAAATGACTGTAAGGTTGATTAGTTTCTCTAAATTGTCCTTGGGTGTGTGTGTGCTTGGTTGTTTGTCCTGTGTGTCTTTGTATTGCCCTACAATGGAATGGCAACCTGTCCAGGGTGTACCCCGCCTATTTACCCAGAGACAGCTGGAGATAGGCACCAGCCCCTCCGTGACCCTGCGTGGAACGGCGGGTACAGAAAATGGATGGATAAAAAAAATTATAGAAAATATATTTTAAGAGTTGCTAAATGTTTGGATAATCATTGATTTCTACTTTGTTCATAAACATTCTAAGTAAAATGTTCCATCTGTGTTAAAACACCTTCATTATTCATTCATCAAGCCTTCTGTAGTTCTGAAAGCACATTAGTGTCATCAGCTGCATCAGCACACCATCAACCAGCCTTGGGGAACTCCAAAAGTCAGTAAAACAAGATAATTGATATTTATACGAAGCCGTCTTGGTGATTATAACAGAACATACCATGATGGGTGGTGCTGACGGTGCTGTGGGCTGGTTGACTGTGGGCTGAGGCTGCGTTTGTGTTGGCTGATTAGGCACCGGCTGTCCTGGGGATGGAACAGGTGGCTGAGGATTGGGTGGAACTGGCTGTGGCACCATTGGCTGGGTTGCTGTGGTAACCGTTGATATGCTGGGCTGACCGGTCTTCATCACGGAGCCAGGAGGCTGACTTGAGAATGGAGGACCTTGAGGAACCATTCCAGGGACTGAAAGTTGGAAATAACTTTATATGAAAGAGGTGCAGAGATAAATAAAATCCTAATGACTAAAACAAAATTTAAATTTGGGTTTTACACCAGTTAATTGTTGGTGGTCCAGTGGGAGCATATGAATGATAAAATATACAGATGAAACAGTTCTGGTTCTGAGGGCCAATCCCAATTTTCACTCATGCATATTATCCTCCAAAACCCTATGATTGACAGAAAAACCTTATTTACATTTATATTAGAACATTTGATTCTGGAAGCAAAAACTTTCTCATGGGAGGGAGATCCATTATTGCTTGAGTGAGAGAATGCTGGGTGGTGGTGTGGTGGCTAACGGGGAAGAATTGGGACTTCTGATTGGCCAATTACCAATTAAAGCTGTTATGGTGAAACAACAGAACAAGCTAGGTTTTGAATACAAACAGGGTCACAGAACACGCACACCCCTCCCCTCGGGTATCTTCCCTCAGACGGTTCTGCCTGAACCTGGAGCCCACTGTGCCGAAGGAAACGAGATAGTGCACACTTGTGTCAGTGAGCCGCAGAGCAGCCGCGGCTACATTGTGTTATGTTAACCGTGCTTCGTTTAGTGGTGCGGGAGGCAAAGACAACCCCAGCTCATATTTTCATGTCTTTATTCTCCGAACTCCATTGTCACATCCGTTTCCGGCATGGTAACACTTCCCGTGTCAGGGTTACAACATGTTCCACATTATCCAACACCTCCCCTCTGTAGTTAACCCCCCTACCTGTAATCTCACCATATGTACCTCCTTTCATACACCTTAACAAGAACATCTATATTTACTTCTCTCCCTGGGCTGCCACCTTACCGTGGTGGAGGGGTTTGAGTGTCTCAATGATCCTAGGAGCTAAGTTGTCTGAGGTTTTCTGTCTCTGGTAGGGTCACCCATGGCAAACATGGCCCTAGGTGTGGGATTAGACAAAGAGCAGCCCGAAGACCTCTTATGATGAATTATATAAATGGAAACCATGTTCCCTCGCCCGAACGTGGGTCACCGGAGGCCCCCTCTGGAGCCAGGCCTGGAGGTGGGGCACGTTGGCGAGCGCCTGGTGGCCGGGCTTTCACCCATGGAGCCTGGCCGGGCACAGCCCGAAGAGGAAACGTGGGTCCCCCTTCCCATGGGCTCACCACTTGTGGGAGGGGCCAAAGGGGTCGGGTGCAGTGTGTGACAGGTGGTAGTCGAGGGAGAGGACCATGGCGGTCTGATCCTCGGCTACAGAAGCTGGCTCTTGGCACATGGAATGTCACCTCTCTGGTGGGGAAGGAGCCTGAGTTGGTGTGTGAGGTTGAGAGGTTCCGACTAGATATAGTCGGACTCACCTCAACACATGGCTCTGGCTCTGGAACCAGTTTCCTTGAGAGGGGTTGGACTTTCTACCATTCTGGAGTTGCTCCCACTGAGAGGCGCCAAGCAGGGGTGGGCATACTAGTTGCCCCCCCATCTTGGTGCCTGTACGTTGGGGTTTACCCCAGTGAATGAGAGGGTAGCCTCCCTCTGCCTACGTGTGGCGGGACTGGTTCTGACTGTGGTCTGTGCTTATGCACCAAACTACAGTTCAGACTACCCACCCTTTTTGGAGACCTTGGAGGGGGTGCTGGAAAGTGCTCCATCCGGTGACTCCCTCGTTCTGCTGGGGGACTTTAACGCTCACGTGGGCAACGGCAGTGAGACCTGGAGAGGTGTGGTTGGGAGGAACGGCCCCCCTGAATTCGAGTGGTGTTTTGTTATTGGACTTCTGTGCCAGTCATGGATTGTCCATAATGAACACCATGTTCAGACATAAAGGTGTCCATATGTGCTCGTGGCACCAGAATACCTTAGACCATAGCTCGATGATCGACTTTTTTGTTGTTTCATCTGATCTGCGGCCGCATGTCTTGGACACTCGGGTGAAGAAAGGGGCAGAGCTGTCAACGGATCACTACCTGGTGGTGAGTTGGCTCAGATGGTGGGGATTTAAAGATTAAAGATTAAAGTCCCATCAGTTGTCACACACACACTGGTGTGTGTGGTGAAATTTGTTCTCCGCATTTGACCCATCCCCTGGGGGAGCGGTGAGCTGAAGACACAGCCGCGCTCGGGAACTATTTGGTGGTTTAACCCCCCAATCCAACCCCTTAATGCTGAGTGTCAAGCAGGGAGGCATTGGGTCCCATTTTTACAAAGTCTTTGGTATGACCCGACCAGGAGTCAAACCCCTGATCTCCCGATCTCAAGGCGGACACTCTACCACTAGGCCACTGAGAACGGTATGCCAGTCAGACCAGGCAGGCCCAAACGTATCGCAAGGGTCTGCTGGGAATGTCTGGGAGAGTCTCCTGTCAGAAGGCGCTTCAATTCCCACCTCCGACAGAACTTCCAAAATGTTCCGGGGCAGGCGGGGGACATTGTGTCTGAATGGACCCTGTTCCGTGCCTCCGTTGTTGAGGCGGCCGACCGGAGCTGTGGTCGCAGGATCGTCGGTGCCTGTCATGGTGGCAACCCCCAAACCCGCTGGTGGACACCGGCGGTTAAGGATGCTGTCAAGCTGACGAAAGAGTCCTCGGTGGGTAGAATACTACGAAGACCTCCTCAATCCCACCGACATGTCTTCCAGTGAGGAAGCAGAGTCTGGGGACTTTGGGTTGGCGTCTCAAATATCTGGTGCTGAGGTCACGGAGGTGGTTAAAAAGCTCCTCTGTGGCAAGGCTCCGGGGGTGGATGAGATCTGCCCGGAGTTCCTTAAGGCTCTGGATGTTGTGGGGCTGTGTTGGCTGATGCGGCTCTGCAATATTGCATGGACATCGGGGGCAGTCCCGCTGGACTTGCAGACCGGGGTGGTGGTTCCCTTATTTAAAAAGGGGGACCGCAGGGTGTGTTCCAACTACAGGGGGATCACACTCCTGAGCCTTCCTGGTAAGGTCTATTCAGGGGTTCTGGAGAGGAGGATCCATCGGATTGTTGAACCTCAGATTCAGGAGGAGCAATGTGGTTTTCGTCCTGGCCGTGGAACACTTAGGGGAATCCTGGAGGGTGCGTGGGGATTTGCCCAACCAGTCTACATGTGCTTCATGGATTTGGAGAAGGCGTTTGACCACGTCCCTCGAGGGCCCATGTGGGGGGTACTCCGGGAGTATGAGGTACCAGGCCCTCTGATACGGGCTGTTAGGTCCCTGTATGACCAGTGTCAGAGCTTGGTCCGCATTGCCGGCAGTAAGTCGGGCTCGTTCCCAGTGAGAGTTGGACTCCGCCAAGGCTGCCCTTTGTCACTGATTCTGTTCATAACCTTTATGGACAGGATTTCTAGGCGCAGTCAAGGTGTGGAGGGCATCCGTTTTGGTGGCCTGAGGATCAGGTCTCTGCTTTTTGCAGATGATGTGGTCCTGTTGGCTTCATCAGAACGTGATCTTCAGCTTTCGCTGGAGCGGTTCGCAGCCGAGTGTGAAACAGCTGGGATGAGAATCAGCTCCTCTAAATCTGAGACACTGGTCTTGATTCAGAAAAGGGTAGAATGCCTTCTCCAGGTCAGGGATGAGGTCCTGCCCCAAGTGGAGGAGTTTATGTATCTCAAGGTCTTGTTCACGAGTGAGGGAAAACTGGAGCGTGAGATCGATTGGCAGATTGGTGCTGTATCTGCAGTGATGCGGGCGTTGTACCAGTTTGTCGTGGTGAAGAGAGAGCTGAGTCAGAAGGTGAAGCTCTTGATTTACCGGTCGATCTACGTTCCTACCCTCACCTATGGTCATGAGCCTTGGGTAGTGACTGAAAGAACGAGATCGCGGATACAAGCGGCCGAAATGAGTTTTCTCCGAAGAGTGGCTGGGCTCTCCCTGAGAGATAGGATGAGAAGCTTGGTCATTTGGGAGGGGCTCGGAGTAGACCCACTGCTCCTCCACATCGAGAGGAGCCAGTTGAGGTGGCTCGGGCATCTGGTCGGGATGCCTCCTGGATGCGTCCCTGGTGAGGTTTTCCGGGCACGTCCAACCAGGAGGAGACCTAAAGGTAGACTCAGGACACGGTGGAGGGACTATGTCTCTCACCTGGCCAGGGAATGCCTTGGGATTTCCCCGGAGGAGCGGGGTGGGGTGGGGTGTGGATGGATGGATGGATCTATATTTACTCTGGACTTCTTTATTTATCTAGCACCTTAACAAGATCATCTATATTTACTCTGGACTTTAATTCTTTAACAGTGTCCCTAGGGTGCCCTAGACACTCGTCCTGAGGATGTTACATAAGGTGTACCTTATGTTTCTACCCCTATCTTCCGACTGGGCGTAACAGGCATACAGCTTGTATGCACCTCCTCAGTACCACGCTCTACATTAGTAACTGTTGTACTTACAGTTGTACATAACGGCCTCACCTGTATGCGGTTTCGCCGTATGTGTCCCTCATCTGTTTGAATGACATATGATCTAGGTGTTACTGCCTGCTGTACAACAGTCCCTTCTTTGTTCTCTCTTGGAAGCCACACAGCCTGACCTGATGCGACGTCGTATGGGCAATCGTCGGTTGGGAGTCGAGCTCTATATTCTAAACATCCGATGGCCGCATTGTATGCTGGACGTCCGTTATTGTTCAGCCAAACAAACCAACGTCATTTCCGGCATGACGTAGCTTCCCTTAAAAAATGTAAACAGCGCGAGTGTTGATAATGGACGGACACTCCACCGACGCCTCTTCCTTCATCGTTCTCGCTGTGCTCTTTCTAATAACAGTTGTTGTTCCTCTAGCTCAAGCAGCTCCTGCTCAATAAAAGAATTTGCTCTGTGTCTGTGTCGACCATCTTTTCGCGAGTGTATGTGCGTCGCAAATGGTAAATAGTAGTAGGGCAGACACATCACTACAAGAGTATGCACACCTGCGTAGGAGCGTGCCCTCTGTTGTTTTGGCGGAGAATTTCTTTGCAACAGGGTCAGGCCAGTATGAATACAGAGGAGATACGACGCTGCAGCAGCGGGGGCACAAATGTGCCTTTGATTAAGCATGAATCAGGCTTTAGTGGTGCGGGAGGCAAAGACAACCCCAACCAGTGTTGCCAACTCCCCCTGATAGAAAGTAGCTACTAGCTGAAGTCGACCCAGAAAGTCACCCAGATGTTGCCAGATGATGCCAAATGCTAATTAGCATATTGATGATGTCATCACGCCACATTGGCATTCATTTTCCCCATAGCATCTAAAAGATATATATATATATATATGTATATATATATATATATATATATATATATAGAGAGAGAGAGAGAGAGAGAGAGAGAGAGAGAGAGAGAGAATATTTAGAAAAAAGTTGGTCTTTTTAGGACTAAAAGGGAGGAACATAAAAAACTATTTTATGTATTAATGTTATTAATTATTATGATTAAAATGGCCGAAATTGCTTTGATATGTACAATAAATTCCAAAAGTATAAATAAAGTGACATCAAGACAGATATGGTGTGGTGATCCAAACAGTTGTGTTGTAGGATATACCTCAGACCTCCTGCTCTCCTCATTCTCACAGACATTTTCCTAAAAAGCTGGGATTTTTTTTACACCTCATAGTTTCTCTACTTCTCTATTGTGTATTCTCTCCATCGTGATAATAACGGCGCACCGAGCAAAAGGGAGCGGGTGTCTCATGGTATAACCATCCCCTAGTCACTGAAGGAAATTCAGATGAGCCACAGAGCTGCGTGTGTAAATGGGACGGTAGTTGAAACTCCCGTTGATTTTATTTGCCAAATGCAGGAAAAGCCAAAGTGTCTGACGGCTGCAGAACCAGAGATCGCAGGTTGACGCCTGCGCCGTCTCTAGTAGAAGCATGAGCCTGCAGCAGCAGCAGCAGACATAAATTGGCGGTCTCCAGCTCTGCAGCTGTACCTTTGTCTTCGGCCCGGCCAAAAACGGTTTATGATTTGTCAGTCCTCGTGCACATGTGCAGATTATCGTTCTCTTTCCTTACTCCCAGAAGAACGGTTCAGAGTGCAAATGGTTTCCTTGTTGCTAATCTGCAGGGAATATCTACAAGAAAGTTCTACACAAAGTAGCAACGGGTCCTGAGAAATGTCGCTAGGTTTGTCACTAGGTGCTTTTTTTGGAAAAAAAAAAGTCGTTGAGGGTCAAAAAGTTGTTAGGAACAGCGATAAAGTCGTTAAGTTGGCAACATTGACCCCAGCTCATATTTTCATGTCTTTCTTTATTCTCCGAACTCCCTCGTCACATTCGTTTCCGGCACGGTAGCACTTCCCGTGTCCGGGTTACAACATGTTCAACATTATCCAACACATTGTAGCTCATCATCATCAGCGTGTGAATGTGTGTGAATGGGTGAATGATGCACTGTAGTGTAAAGTGCTTTGGAGTCCTCTCACTATAAAAGGTGCTTTACAACTGTGAGTCAAACTTATAAACTCCAGTTGATGTTTTCCGGCAGGTGGGAGTGAGTGCATCAGTGGGAATGACGTGGGTGTCACGGGTGCTCTTCGGGGTCATAAAAATATCAAAGGTAAATATGGAAAGAAAAAGCTGATGATCTGAGGCACTCCGAAAGCAATTTATTTAAGTATGAGCTGACCAAATTCGGCCTGGATTATGCCCTGAAGCAGGTTGCGCGCGTCTGCTCATACCTTAATAAAATACTTTCGAAGTGCCTCAGATCATCAGCTTTTTTCTACCAGTTGCTGTTTTCTAGCTCCAAACATCTTTTGTTGTCCGTGACTTTAAATTGTGTTTTTTTATTTGGGACTCTGGTAGTTTATCTTAAAGTTGAAGTGGTAGCAGCCGGCTGTTTCTCCTTCTTGAGTGAAGAACCTCTCATACCAGCGGTGTTCTGTTGCTTAATACATGAGTGCATAATGTATGGGGGACCCAGGAAAGTGTGGATGTGTGGTGTTTCGGCGATACCGATTAACCAGATGTTTCAATGGTTGTTTTCTGTGTAATTTGGTGGAAGTTTTTGGACAAATGTGAGAATTACTTTATTTATTGATATTAGGGCCGGGACTTTAACATGTTAATTACGATTAATTAATTAGAAAAAAATAACGCGTAAAAAAAATTAACGCATTTAATCGCAGCTTGCATTTCAAGCAAGGCGGAACCTTTGTCATTGCAAGACTTCCTCGTAGACTGAATATCACTGACGCACACAACAATGCACAGCGCTAATGGCTACTAAAACGGAATAAAAACAGAAAGAAGTTGCCTTGCTTGGACTGATGCAGGATTTAGGAAACACGCCCGCCTCTTTTCTTAACTTGTGAAAAAAACTTCCGGACAACAACGGAGTCCGTGTCGCAGACATTTTTCAGAGATTGTCTCTGCTGCCCGGTGGCAACGGGAACTTTACAAAAGTTGCGGTAAGCTATATTTTTAACATTTACGTAACATCTGTGCAGCGCTGAAAGCACCAGACAGAATAATTCTGTGTCCTAACAGTAGTTTATGAAAGTAGTCAAACGAGAGGCACCTGGCTGCCGCTGGGAGAACGCTCCGTGTTCTCACTACTCTGTAAACAATCACAAACAACGTGTCTTAAAGTTGAAAACAGAAGTTTAAGTTAAAACAGAAACACTCTGAAACTTTTCTGATGATTTTCTAAACAATTCTTTCGGGGAATTATGTGTTTCTGAGACGAGTCTCTGTCTAAACATCACATGCATTACTATCATTAAGCAGCGAGGTGTGTTGAAGCTGTCATCAGCTAAGGGGCGGATGCTTAAGTGCATCAGGGGCAGCGAGGAACGAGGAAGTTGTGATCAGGCTGGAGATCACACCAGATTCGCTGCTGCAGGCGTGAATCTGCGGGTCTGCAGCATCCCCTTCTTAACGTGACGTCAGGACTTCCCATGTAAGGAAGGTCCGCTCACCTGTTCGTCAGATCATTATTTCCTCGCCATGATCTTTTATCATCCCATCAACCTCCAGTCATCCAACTGGAACCAGTTAGAGTTCCTGATCATTCTCAGAATATGCCATGCCTGCTCTGGTGTTAAAAGTTAGTACATTTAAGTCCTAGATCATATTTGTGCCTGTTCTACTGTCATTTTGAAGGATTAATATTTATGTGTTTTTACTACATTATGAGTAGAAATGCTAATAAAAACTCCCAATTATACAAACAAGAGAAACTGGAAAAATTAGAATCTGGTGCAAAGTAAAATTTATTTCAGTCATTCATCTAGACAGAGAGACTTTTTAAAGGCTCAGGAACCCTTTTCAGGTGTTTTCTATTTGTAATTATAAATTTTTGTTGATTTGGGTCTTGTTTCATATCACACAGTGACATTTGATTAATTTAAATGCATTTTTTATTTAAAAGCTTTAGTTTACAGTAATAACCATGTCTAATGTTTGATTCTCTGTCTCATAATTTTAATTAAGTTTTACTTTGAGAGCACATTTTCCTGAACGATTAAAATGTGATTAATTGAGATTAATTAATTACAAAGCCTGTAATTAATTAGATTAAAAATTTTAATCAAGTCCCAGCCCTAATTTATATATATATATTTTTTAAACTCCACCAGTGTTAATTTTGACAAGAAATTTTAATTTAGTTTTAATCTTTTGACAAAAATAATTTTTAATTTTAGTCACAATTTAGTCATCCAGTTAGTTTTAGCTTTAGTCTTATTTTAGTCGACTAAAGTAAACGTATTTTTATTCTGATGCAATAATCTTCAACTTCATAGCAGCAGTAATCTGCTCCCGACAATCCTGGAGGCCTGAACAGAGACGATGGAGTTTACTCATTGGATCGCGCATGGGACTGCATCATCGGAGGGGGGAGAGCGGGCAGCAGAGGGCGACAACGTCCTCTGCTGCCCACGGATAAACGGAGTAGGAAGTGACGCCACCATCAGCGTCAGCTCTGAAGATGTTTGCAGCCGCAAACGAAACCGTCAGCAAGGTAAAGAGAAACCTTCTCTGTGTTTTAATAAAGAACCAAAAATGGAACTGGAGGCCAACTGTTAACTTACAGCGACTCTTCTGGTTGTTGGCTGCTTCGACGGCCCTCTGTGCAGCCACATGAGCAGGAGTCATGGAGGTCAAATTCTGCCAGGAAACAGATTGGAAAACCAGAGTCAGCGCTGGAGAGTGTTTTACAGAAGAAATGTGAAACCCTTTTCTGACAGCGAGCCAAAAGCAGGAGGCAAGCTTTAGTCCCCGGGGGCTTGGTAGCAGGGTGGCCCTTACCTGATAAGAGTGGGGCGTGTTAATGGGTGGAGGGGCCTGAGGAGGCCCAACAACAGGCTGGCTGACACTCAGCTGTTGAGGGGGGAGCACAGGCTTCAGCGGTCCAGGTCCTCCACCTGTGTTAGCTGTGACCACGGAAAAGCTCCATTTACAGGTGAGAAACATAAGTGTGCCAAATTCTGTTCAGCATTCAACACTCCAAATGGCTAAGATTAACCTCATAACCGCTATTTCCTTGTTTAGGAAAGCTGAACCTGCCAAAATAATTAATTTACAGCAGAACTGTGAAGCAGAAATTAAAGTGTGAATCTCAACAGCCAGTGTCTCACAGACACATTAGTGGTCTAAAGGAAGCTGTCCCAAATGGAGCCTAAAATAAAGACTCCTCTGAGAAATCAGCTGCAGCGAGATGAAAATTACAAACAATATAAGATTAAAAGAAATAGACATAAATAAGCAATAAACCAAGCTAAATATCTAAGCGAGTAACTTTCAATGTTTCTGGAGATGAGCCTTCAGCTCTCACTGTGTCATCTCCCAAAAATAAATCACCTCAGCTTGGAGCTACGTGTAACCTAACATCTCTACCTGCTTCATACTGTCCTCACACTGAGAATATGCTCTAAAATACTAATTAATACATCATTTATTAACATTTTCTCCACAATAGTAAACACAAATAAAAGACCTGAAACAGCAGTTCAAAAACTAAATAGGACAAAGTTCAACAGCAGAGCTCTACCTGCTGTAACGAACTCTGGATTTAAATGAGTGTTTCTCACGTGGAAGCGAGATGCCTCTGACCAGCACCATGTGGAACGGATCCTGGCTGTAGTCGGGGTGGGGTTCAACCGCCCCGCTCACTGGAGATGCCCGCTCAAACAAAGCTCTGAGAGCGGGCAGTTTCCGAGGAGCAACCACAGAGAAGTGAATTCCTCTCTACAAAAGATCAATCAAACACGGCCCGTTAAAGTGATTGTTTTTCTTTTTACTGACTCAACAGCAAACGTAAACAACTTAAAACCAACAAGCAGATTTAAGCAAAGCTAAGGTCGAAGAGTAACCGATGACGACTCACATCTCTGATGATTTTGACCAAGCTGTCTGCGGTGCAGCCAGTGTAGCTGACGCTCTCCACAGCAGGGAGCAGGTACGGGGGGGAGTTACACAGCAGCACACACACTTTGTGAGTCTGACCTCTGAAACAAACACACAGATCAGAGCTGAGATTCCCATCTATAGCAGGCTGAGACTACACTCAGATTTATTGTTAAAAATGGTTTTAGGAAAAACGCCGAGTCCAACTCATAACCTATTGGTTTAATCATTTTTCTGGAGTAACCTTTAAAGGAGTCGTTTATTCCTTGAACAAATACAGGTGCAGTGGTCTCTAGTAGGAAGAAAAGCCTTGTAAGTCGATCGGGGGTATAGGCGCACCATTTCTAGGAAGTAAAAGTTGCTGAGTTTCGAATGACAGGTGCTGGAGCCTTATTTCATGATATTGGACATCTCGCTCTAGATTAGAAAACAGCAACGCCACTTTACAAGTGACTTGCAACAAAGATGTTTCATCTCCGCAAATAACACAAGCCTGAAGGAGCTTCTGCTGTGTGGTGAAGTTGCTAATGCTAATGGTTAGCTTCAACTAGAGCTGGGCGATACGGCCTAAAATCAATATCGCGGTATATTGAGGAGTTCACCTCGATAACTATAAACGGACCACTAGATGGGGCTGTCACGCGTCTTACATTGAGTCATGTCGTCATGTGACTCGAGGTGGTACAGCTTCTTAAAGAGACATGAACATGGCCAACCCACACGCATCTTTTAATTTTCTTCTTTTATTATCAAATTTATTGACATGGGAAAAACTATATTGATTAGTCAGAAATTTAGATAACTATACATTTTCGCTATGTCGCCCAGTGACAGCGTCTACTAGCTGAGACGTTCTCTGCTGTTTCCTGGACGTTAAACCAATAACAGCATTCCCCATCGTGAGTCAAGATGGGTGAGTCCACGAGTGTTATGGGCTCGGCACACGAGAGGAGACATCACCTCTCCTCCATTCTTTTTCAATGAGACATGCCGATAAAGCGATAATCGCGGGTCTCCCTCCTACCAAGCCAAACGCGAAAAACGTGCGTGTGAAATTTTGCGCTCGTACACGTGTCGTGCACAGGCGACCCAGCGAAGCGATCCAAGAAAGTTGAAACATTTTCAACTTTTCATCGCTGTCGCGGACGAGAACCAATCAACGGAGGTTTCATTCACTGACCAAAGAGCGGACAGGATACTCCGTAAACTCCTCCGAGCAAACATGGAGGAGAAGTTGATTATGTTTTATATAGTAAAATCACAAGTAAGATTTCACATAACTCTAACAGTAACTTGTGAAACATCATATCTATCGCTTTATTAACTCTGAACAGATTAAATAACCTTAATTCCCTCCAACCTGACACAGCCAAGCAAAACTACGGAAGTTTAGATTTCGCCATGAAACAGAACGCGTAGACGACTTTGGCGCTGGCCGCCTCCCGTGTGTCAGGTAATAAAAGCGACAGCAACAAATTTCGCTGATCGCGGTCGTTTGTCGCCTCCCGTGTGTCGAGCCCATTAAGTGACAGTGTGATGTAGATCTGTGTGGATTTTCCAATCCTAGAGTTTCACCGTCTATTTTATATCAGAAGCTAATGCAGGAGATAGGTGTAGGAGACTGTTGTCATGTTCAGCCAGCATGAAAAACTCAGAATGACCAATTATAATCAGAAATAATGATTAAAGAAATTTTTTTTGTGTTCCACATGAAATTTCATAATCCTAGTTCTAATTTGACTAAACTAAGAAAAGTATTACGACAAACTATTATGACAAATTCTTTTCAGCAAATCAAAATCGAAATGCTCGTTTACATTTGCTCTCTCATCTTTTTAAAGTCGTCAAAAAGCTGCAAAGCCACAGAGAGCCCTTCAGCAATCAGGCTGCAGCTCTCTGCTCCACCCCCCATAAACCTGGCAGAAAGAAAAGTAAATTACAATCATGTTTTCAATTAAAAAATGGATATTAAGCATTAAGAACTTTTCAGCTATTCCCAAAGCATTACTGGATTTTGTCGATCCATGAGACAAACTCAAAGGCAGAACTAGTTGGTGCGTGACACTGGACGTAGGATTCCGGAGCGCACTCAACCGTGTTAAACACCACAAGGCCGTACTGGGTTCCTCCATACTATAAAAACAGAGAACAGAGGGTCTTTTTGGTTTTTGAACAACAATACCTCCCAAACTCACAGCAAAAACAATATAAAAATACCACTCACATCTCCACCAAAATCTGTTTCTGCTGGAGGCCCTCCGTTGAAATATCTATGACGGATAAAATAAACAAAAATATTATTCCATAACTAACCAAAAGCAGACACAGACTAACAGCCTTTACCTTTAAGGAATTCTTACTCAATTGCTGGAAGTATATAGTTTTTCCTTAAGGATTCAAAGTACGGTCCGAGGTTGGCTGTTCCTTCGATGACGAACACCACATCAGCCACCTGGTTGAAACCAGGTTTACTGGAAGGCTCCATGAATGCTGATCTGGACATTAAGATGATCTCATCATGGAATGAACCAAATTATTAAGGCTTTTGAAGAAATCTAAACAAATTCCAGCAACTTGATAGAATACAGAGCTGAACCATACATGTGTACACTTTAATACTTAAATGGGGAAAGTAGTGGGATGCTAACGTTCCAAGTCCAACTTCATTTCCTCATATTTTGCTTTCAAGCAGCCAAACTTTCTTGTTTTCTTAAGTCTTTGGCTTCTTTTCTGCTACGTTTCTGTCCTGCATAGGACCATAACAGAAGAATGATTTTTATTTGGTTTGCCCTGAACTGGTACAAGACATTAACAGAACATAGAAAACAAACTAAATCTGTTTTGGCTTGCTGTTACATGCGGCTTCTTTTGTGTTTTTACCTAAGAAAAACACCAAAAATAACAGTCAGACAAAAAGTGTTATTTCAACACCAACAAGGTGGTTCCCATAGAGGTAGGAGCTATAAAGATGTGATACGGCATAGAACTGTTCTGTACATAGCAAATATATGGTCAGTAAAGCAAAGATCTGCTTGAATCTCAATAATAACCTGCTATATACATGTTTTAATTTCTGCTACTGTGCAGCTCTCATACAGTAAATGATCATCCGAGGGACCTTCCACATGTACGGATTTCGATATTTTTATAGAGGGATGACTTTCAGAAACTGTTCCTCCACTGGAGATCTGACACTTCTCTTCATCTTCCACTTGATGGTATTCCTTACTTTTTCATGCATGTTAGACAAAACACTGTTATGATCAAGAGCATAAACTGGATACAAACGACTAAAAAGCAACAAAAGTACAGGAAAAACTTCTAAAAGAAAACCAAACAACCTGAAGAAGGGAAAGACGATTTCAGAAGATAAGAAAAAGGGTTGGGTATTAAGTTATTATAAATAACCTTATATTTCGCACAATCGTATGAGGGATTATCTGTGAAGCTTCTAACATCAAGTCTAGGTGGAAAAAACAGAGAAACCGCTTTCTATTTAGTACAGTAATCCTGCAAAATGGACTTTGAATCCCATAGTTATTTTCACATAAGAGACAGCCTGCTGTTTTTACATATAGGTGGCTAAGTGTATAAAACATCCTGTAGTGTCTAAAGTAAACACTGCAGGGTTAAGAAAAGCCCCACTCTGGAAATAAGAAAAGTTATGATTTAACGTAAATCCTACAGCAGATTAGAACTTTGTTCATCTTAGCTGAACGCTAGAGTCAGGTGTGAATAAGACCTGCTCATCATCACGAAGACACAACATGAACATCATTATTAGCATTAGCAAGAAAAGTGCGATTTTTACCAAAAGTTCCAACAAGCTTCACATAGAATCTGGTCAGCAGCAGATAAGAACTGACCTGATGGTGTTCTGCGACCAGCGGAGGCTTTAAATGAGAAACAAAACGAACCTAAACCAAATATAAACACAACAGAGCAGCTAACATCACCGTGTTTAGGTAATTTTCTACGGAAGTGACGCCACGACCCTCGACGGCCACTAAAAACATCTTCTTCGCCATTTTCGTTCTGCAGACAGGAGGCTGAACAGCGCGGTGCTGCCCCCTTCTGTTCTAAGTAATTATCACCAAACCTCATTCACACAGATTCTTTTCAGGAGAGAAAACATGTGTCCTAAATGTAATACCTTTTCATTTTGATTTTACCTATTACTTTGTAAAATGTTTACACAACTATAGTTTTGTTTGTGGCTTCATTTTAGACTGAAACTGCTCTTTCATGAGAAAAGAGCCCAGTTCTGCAGAAAGACCACTGATGGTGGTGAGATCAAAGTCCCAGAACAACTCAAAGTTATTTTATGAACGTATTACCATTCTCACACCCAGTTTATGATTATTTTCAAATGTAGTAAACTCAATGTGTGTGTGTATGTATGTGTGTGTGTGTGTGTGTGTGTGTGTGTGTGTGTGTGTGCGTGCGTGCGTGCGTGCGTGTGTGTGTGTGTGTGTGTGTGTGTGTGTGTGTGTGTGTGTGTATGTGTGTGTGTATGGGTGTGTATAACATGAAAAGCTCCTTGGTGGCAAGGATCTGAATGGAGAGGAGATCCACCTGGAGTTTTTTAAGCCTCTGGAGCCTCATTTATCAAGCTTGCTTATAACACGGGGTCGGAAAACTGCGTAAGCAACTTTCCATGCAAACTTTGGGATTTATAAAAGAAAATTTAGCAGAAAAATGTGAGCAACTTTAAGTTGGATAAGGACCTGGCTTACACAAATGTTGGACATGGAGAGCACCTGCAGTGCTGCTGCTGAGAAGGATACAATTATGAAATCCTGCAGCATTATCACTTGTACTGCTTCGTTTTCACACAGAACAAGAACCCCCCCACACACATACACGCGAGCGCACACATACACGCGCGCACACCCACACACACACGCGCGTGCGCACACACACACAAAAACACACACACACAGCTTGAAGCGCAGAATACGGAATGCAGAACATCAGCAGGGGGACAGATTGAGACAGAATGTCATGCGTCTGTGACAGTGTGTGTCCTGTCACTGTGACCCAATTGATGATGTGCCCTGGCTACTTAGGCAAGGGAGATCTCTGTTTTGCTGACTGGTTAGCGTGCGTGACTTTCACCCGGGAGTCTGGGGATCGAATCCCAATTGGACCATTTTTTTAATATCTGCCCCACACTCTCAGAAATAGGGGTACCAAAGTGTACCAAAAAGGGTACAAACGCTTGTCGCTGGGGGTGTTCCTTTTTGAGGGACATTTCTGTACCCTTTAGGCTTGGTACATTTTTGTACCTTATGAAGTTGTACCATCTGAAGTACAGTCATGTACTTTCCTAAGACATAAATGTACCTTCAAACTATAGTACAGAAATGTTCCCTTGAAAAGGGTACAATAAGGTACCTATGAGGGTACCCCCCCAGCGACAACCTATTTCGTACCTAAAGAGACAAAAATGTACCCCCAACACTCCAAAATATTTGGTTATTTAACCATTTATTTTCGATAATACAATTACATCAAAGCATTTAAACAACCACAGGAATACATCCTTCATTACATTTGTATATTGCCATAGAACATGTCAGGAAAAATACATTCATTTTAAAAAAAGTAAACAATCACATTAAACACCTGAACAAAATGTTTTGACGGATCACAGAGATGGCATGTATTTAAAAAACTGTCCACACAAATGTTTTGCTCTACTTCAACAAGCCAGAATATATATATATATGTAATATATATAGACAAAGTGGGAAATGTGCTTGCAATCACACATTTGAGAATAAAGCTAAAAAAATGATCTCCTAAATTATCAAGCAAACTGTCCATACTAGGTGGTGTGGGCTGCTGAACTGTGTGTGTCTCGTCTGAACTGTGTGTGTGTGTGTGTGTGTCTTCAACCTCTTTGTGTGCATGGTTTTCAAATCCATCTTCAACTACCTCAAGGCTATTCAAAACAGAGGGTTTGTGTTTGCGATACACATGGCGTCGAAAAGAGTGATACTTGCAAAAAGCTGCCTGGCAGTCATTTATTCCACAAGTGATGCTGAAATGAGCCTCATGTGCATGTACTAACCCAACATGTGTAATCAACTTCCTCAGAGTAAATGCCCTTTTTGAACATTTTGAACATTTGTAGAGTGGGGGCATTTTTAATAGAGTTGGTTAAGTACTCTGGTGACACTTACTGGAAGGGGTTTGTCTCCCTGTTCTCCTATGTTGACAATGCAGTTCTGAAGAAAGACAAGTGTTTTCTTGAAGTATGCAGGGTAGGTCATGTTGAACACGAAGAAGCTGGAGAATGCTGAGATGTAGGCCTCATCCAGCGAGCGGCACGAGCAAACATCCACTCCTTCAACTGTCACAACACCGCGACACTGTCTTGAGAGGGCAGCTGTCCAATTCTTATCCTTCATTCGAATGGTTGGGTATGGACTCGTGGGAGTATTCTGCAGAAGAGGAAGAAAAACATTAGTATACAGTATGTTTGAGCAATATGTGCCAAGTGGATTTTCAACAGATTCCTCAAATTACATTCTTTTTTTGCTGCAAAACAAAACTGTCTATTCTGATAACCTGTAAACATGGCCCCTACTCCAAACAAACTTCTTGACCAATGACTGTTGTGGTAGTGTTTGATAACCTGCTAAAGTTTGACATAATATTCAGGGGCAAAAGCAATCACCCCTGACAGTGACAGTGCCTGTGAAAAAGAATTTCCCTAAGGGGACAATAAAGGTAGGTAGGTAGGTAGGTAGGCAGGCGGGCGGGCGGTGTAAACACCAGACAAAACCCAAGAGCACAGCAGCACTGTGGATTAACAGCAGTGTTTCCCCTACATTAGCTTAGCTGTGATGCTGAATTGCAGCTGAATTCAGCTCCATGCCAACAAAACACCAAGAATGAAACTTGTGGCCAAACGCTATGCATGGCATCATGCATTTACCTCTCCAAGGATGATGAAATCTTCTATCTTCTCCTTGAAGATGGATGGCAAGAGGAGAAGTGCCCCCTTGAAGTCGATTCCTAGGTCATACGGATGCAAATGCACTTCATTAGATTCTGATAGCATGCAAATTCCCATTAACATGCTCTTGGCATGGCACTATGGTACATCAATTATCTCTGGAAGAGACAGCAAATGAATTGTCACAAAATTTACTATTTGTATGAGGTCAAATTAGCACCTGTAATGTCTTCAGCCAGTGCATTCTCTCTTGCCTCCATGTAGACCTTCTTCAGTGGCAAATCCTTGGTCATTTGAAGAACATTTTGAAGAACAGCTGTGAAGTTTTTGCTAAAGCGGCGACAGATGTTGTCTTGGCAAGGATGCATTAAATCAACCTCATCACACAACTGGAAATGAAAAGAGCAGAATAGACAAAAGAATTACATTTTACATTGAGGATTTAAACTTTTGACATGTTTAACCCTCCCGCTGTCCTAATGGGTGTGACCCCACGAGGAAAGTTGACCATTGAGCAGGGTTGATGGTTTATCCCTTAGGTCCACGTGGCAGGGGTGTGGAGTGAGCACCACCTCACCCCTGCCACGTGGACCTCAAGGGATAAACCATCAATCCTGCTCAATGGCCAACTTTCCTCATGGGGTCACACCCATTAGGACAGTGGGAGGGTTAAAGACACAGACTGAAGATAAATGTAAAGTGCTTTAACCCTTGAACAAACATTCTAAAGATAAAAAAACAGATTGATTAATCTGTTAGTACAGAAAGTAATAATCAGATTTAGAGACAAAAAAATCATTAGCTTATTCCCCAATCATCTTAACAATCCTTACCCCTGCGGGTGTCCCCAGGAATGGATATCTCTTTAATAGGTCCACAGTACACATTCCTTCAGCTACCTCTCGACGTCTCCATGCAAAGGTTTTTGTCATGCGGTCTTTCACCAGTGCTGTGTCAGGATGTAGCTTCTTGTGCTGATCATTTCGTACCTTGATATGAGCATCAACGGAGGCTGCATCTTCCCCCACAAAGCACGAATCCTTTGTCAAAGCAGATATCAGTAATATCATAAGTAAAATCTGATGAGTTAATGTTACTCAAAATGCGGTAATTTGTACACCAAATGCTTTAAAAAAAATGCAAAAATGTTGAATAGGAATTGCAAGTTGAGCTGACTTTTGTTAAATCAACTGTGAAGTTCCTTTTTCTATGTTAATGTTAAAATGTTTCTTTCAATTAATGTTTACTTTTAGCTTTACAGAGAACATAATAAGACTACATATGTTACCTTAGCTCTTAAAGGCTCAGGGTGTGAGGACTTACGAGAGAGGGCTTCATTCTCTTCAGACAGGAGCTGCTGGATTCCTCTGTGGTCCGATGTTTCTGCGTGCGTCCAAACTTTTCTTTAACCCGGTTCACTTCTTCGTTGCTGATTAGGGGAGCCCGTTCTGCTTTGAACTTTCTCTTGAGTTGGCTATGCCAGGTGTCCTAGTTGTTTCAAATGTATATAAGAAGTTAATTATGCTTACCTTATATTAATATAATCTATAAAAGAAGCAAAAAAGGAGAGGTACTCACATAACCATTTCCGTGTACATCTCTTAAGAAAGGATACTTCACAATCAGGGCTTTGATGACCTGGATGTAGTCTGAGTGGGTTGGGTACCTGTTTCAAACATAAGAAAAACAACCCACAATACACTGATTACTCTTATCCTTTCCTGGGGGCTTTTCTGTTCTTCAATTCTTCTAATCATTTTGTTATTACCATAAATAGTATGTTGTAGACCAATGTCAAATCAATGTAGCTAAAGTTGATTTTAATTTTTTTTAAATGGGCGTGGACAAACAGCCACACCTCTCCCAAACTCCATTAATTGAATGCAGTCCTGAATTATTAAATTTACTCTTGAGCAAATTCGAAAATAAACACTTTGGATATCATAGTCCAGATAAGGTCTGGAGACACAGGATGTATGGTTTTACCACTATTGCCAGTTCACTGGAACCGTGTGTCACACCACACTCAAACGCTGGTCTCCAGATTGAGAGGCAGATGGGCTAACCATTTGTTCTCTGCCTTTCGTACAACAGCAATATTAATATTAAGAAATTAATATAATTATTCGGAAAGGAACCCTTACATTGTGTACTGTGACAGCATTTCATAAAGAGTCCCAATTATTTTGTTTCGGTACTTCTGTTCTTTCTGGACTGGTTCTTTGAGATCCAAGCGACTCTGGACATCTTGTGGGAATTTTGGAATGGAAATAACTGCAGGCAGTCTACGGCAAGAAGGTATAGAACTGCAATACAGTAGGAAAACAGCATTAACTAGCCATTTTACAAGCACTTAAATGCATATGCAAATTTAGACATTTATCACAACCTACCTCTGGTTTGCTTGGGACACTGGACCTTCAACTGTACCTTCAAATGGGTCGACCGGTTGTAAAGTGATGATGACTTCCTTGTAGCGATTTGTGAAGTCTCTGAACTTCAGCTGCTTTTTGAAAGACTTGTCAAAAAGATATGCAACCATGGTCTCAGTGAGTCCACAGTCTACCGTCTCTCCATCTACATCGTTATCTGAAATATAAAGTACAGTATGAAATAATTTTCAAATTTAGTTTTAAAGTGACATAATGGTCAATACATCATAATAACAACAACAACAATAAGCTATCATTGTGAATCTGTCTATATTCCCCAAAAGGAAGTCACAATAAATTGTCTTGATTAATTGTTAATATAAATTAACTGGTAAATTGTGACCTGACCTGACTCGTCTGCAACGATATCGTGACATTGTTTAATCACGTTGCAAGCCGGATACATTGCTGAAGTGAATTTTAAATCATCAATGAAATGTTGTAGTACACAACATTTTTTTCTTTTGTGGGGAAATCCTTGCACCGATTGCCTGTTGGCTGTAGGCATTATTCATTGCAACCAAAACAATAATCCGAGTTGTGGATAGAATAGAACCCTAGACTATCTTGTCTGTTTTTGCTGCCCACAATTTGCCTCCTTGATTTTGGTTTATTTGAAATGATAAATCGATCGCTGATCAGCAGCTAGCTGGCATCACAGGTGTTTGCAGACAGTGTCCCTGTGCAGAGCTTACAACTCTCATCATATTCAAAAATCTCACTAAGTAGGTGGGATGGTACAAATGTGTACCTTCCATTGTTTAAAATTCCTTTGAGCGGGAAACAAGTTGGATGCAATACATTTGCTTAGAAAACGATTTTGTTAATAGCTATATTTGCATACTAGCATGTTTTGAGACATTATTGATTTTTTTACATTGTTGTACAGGGTTAGTCACTATTTATTGATAAAACACTCGAATACAGCGGGCAGACGGACGTTGAACATTCCACCAACAGTCTAAATAGTCCACATTTGTACCTTTCTTTGTTTAAAACTTAGCTAACTGCTAGCTTTCACCCATGTGAAATGTAGCTCTTCGGACTTTTGCTAACTACTGTAAAATTACACGTTGTAATTTTTATAAAAACACAAAATCACACCCGACTTACCTCTAAATCTTTGCGCCTCGTCGTCTGACACATCAATGCCTTCTTCCATCAACTTTTTAAGGAGCTCCTCCGTTGATAACCCCCTGAGAGTCATTTTCTGCGTCAATGCTAGTCAGTGCGGGGGCGGAGCACTCATCGCTGCTGGCTTTTCAGCCTTTGGGATTAATGCGCGTTGCGAACTTGACACATGAAAATACAACTTTGTGGTATCAATGCGCAGTTGTTTAGAACCGTCATGCTGTCTTGGCGAACTATATTTGTAATTTACAAAATGTAGTCACCGTAACATAAAAATCTGCTTGACATTTTAACTTCCAAAGAACTTCGGTTTAACTTGATGTTACAAATTCCAAAAAAAACCTCACAATTAATGAACAATTCTAGGATGTAGTAAAAGCAAAAAAGTAAATGGCTAAACATAACAGTAAAATGATTTCACGTTTTTGAATGCAACAACCAAGATGTAAAACATTAAAAATTATAACTGGAACTTAATAAATTGGAAATGGACCAATTTCTTTTAACATCATTTGGTTGTGCCTGCATGCCATTGTGTGTGTGTGTGTGTGTGTGTGTGTGTTTGTGTGTGTGTGTGTGTGTGTGTGTGTGTGTGTGTGTGTGTGTGTGTGTGTGTGTGTGTGTGTGTGTGTGTGTGTGTGTGTGTGTGTGTGTGTGTGTGTTTTAATATAATTTAACATAACTTACACAAAGGGAGGTTACAGATATTCTTTGTGTGGCAAGGTGGAGAAACAAGGGCCCGGGTGGGATTCGACTCCCGGATGAGAGTCATACTCTCTAACCAGTCAGCCAAAGGGACATCTACTTGGCCAAGTAGCCAGGGCTCATGATCAATCAGGACACTGTGACAGGACGCTCACACTGTCACATTTGCATCATAGGATAATTTACGTACAGAGGAGAGGACCAACAGATTTGATTATAACATGTAACTTTTATGAGCACACTCACATCTCATATGAATTTTACAATTAACCAGGCCCATCCCGATTTTCCCATGCTGACCCATTACCACATTCTGCTACTGTCACTGCAGTACAGGTCAAAATGGTACAGATTTGTACTTTATTTCAAAATGAACCTTTAAAGGGGCATTTCTGGACTTTTAAAGACCAGTATTGTACTTTTAAGGGAACATTTAAAAAAAATGTACCTATAGGTACAAAAATGTCCTTCTCTCGTACCTCTATTTCTGAGAGTGCATTTCTCTCTGAAGAACTCACAACATTGACGGCTTCAGCAACGCTGTGCCACTCCATGGATTTCCTCTTATTTGTTTTGCAAAAGCGCTTTCTTTCATTTCTCCACCTCACCCACAGGTACCTCAATTTCTGCTTCTGTGAAATAGCACTTCTTTGATCTGCCTTGATCTACGGTCGCCATCGTCATTGGCGGAGCGCTGCAACAGCCGGCTTATGTACATGCATGAGATCCACAAGGCACTTTGCACTGACTATTTATGGCAGTAAGTGGGCGTGGTGAGGGCGGGATGTGACTAAAATGCAGCTGAGAAACTTTCTCGTTAGTCTCCAATTTATGAAGCGGAGATTGCGTGCAGCTGTGCGTACTCCATGTTTGATAGATCACAAACCTTCTTGGCGTAAGTACAGTTTTTTTTGCTGAGCTTAAGTACGGTTTTAGTAAGGATTCTACACAATGTTTGATAAATGAGACCCCGGTGTAGCCCCCTGGGTTACACAGTTTACCTAAAACCCTTCAATGGAGTAAACCAGGTTTGACATTACTTTGTATCCACATGAACAGTGAGGTGCATTAATGTTAACTGTAACGTTGCCACTTAAGTTATGCAGTTTACATTGAGTATTTTTCAGTTGAGAACAGGCCTCAGATGAGAAATGTTTGTTTCCATTTATGTGTGTATTATTGTTTTGTTGATTGTTTAGTCTAAGGATGTTGGACTGAATTAAAAAAAATGAAAGCTGTGTAGGAGCAATAGCAAGTTATGAACACTAGGGGGAGCTTTGGGGAAAGTTCGAGAAGAGGGAGAGAGCGGGAAGGAGAGAGAGAGACGGCGGGGGGTTGAGACGTTGGGACGGAGAAGCGGGTGAGAGGAGAGCGGGAGACAGCAGTGGAAGAAGCCCGGAGAGACTACCGAAACTTCAGAGCCGTAGCTGTGAACTACTTTTGAGTTCAGTAGCAGAAACTACATCGGACCTAAAGACTGAAGAACGGTTAAAAAAAAAACCTGGCCGGCTTGGAGGAGTGGGGACGTTGCAGTTGAGGAGCCGTTAAATGATTTCAACGGTGCTGGCGGCTTTAACGAGCCATAAAGCTTCTACCTGGGATAAGAAGGGACAGAGACAGGGAGCTGGTTGGAGCAGGAGACGCAAGGAGAGTCAGAGGAGTGGTGTGGGGAAGTTCGCTGAGGACGTCTGGATTCGGGTTTCGGACGGAGGATACAGACTCCCGTCGGATCGCTGAGGACATCGGGTTTCGTGTCTGTGTTCAGGATGCCTGCTCTGCGAATCTGTCAGGGCATCTGAAGGAAAGGTTTCGCATGACACAAAATCACCGCACAGGCCTGCAACGGAAAAAAAAACGCTACGGTACCGAACTTGGTGTGTGTGTGGGTGTGAGTGAGTGTGGGCCCACGGGTGGATTTAGATTGAACTTGGTATTGTTTTTTATTTATATTTTTTTGAGAAATGTATGGAGGTCGGTTAATGACCCATATTAGATATGTTCACTGAAAAAACTAACTGATTTGGTTATTTGATTCAAAGACATTTACAATTTTGGTAATTTGATTGCTTTCATGTTAACTGAACAGTTCCTTCATTCTAAGTGAGTTCTTTATTAAAGATTTTTTTTTCCATTTAGAAAGTTGTCTGGGCTTATTCTGGGTTAAGTGATAATGCTAATGTAAGGGTTTGAGAGCAGAAGGAAAAGATTACTTTACCTTAGGTGAACGGCTAGGTTTCTACCAGATATCAACGAACCCAAGAAGACACCCCACCTGTTTTAGATTCTAGTGCAGTTACTAGACTGGGTAAGGGGGTGCTACATAAAAAATGGAGGCACCGCTGGGATAAAATTATTATTATATATATATATTTTGCATAAAATAGCCTTATGCCCAGACGATCAGTACCTAGTGCCACTTTGGGTGACTGTTACAGAAGTTACTGAAGTTTAATTAGTTTTGTTCCTGAACATTACAGAAGACACTTTTGTGGTTTATTGTTTGTTATTCTTGTGAAATGACAATATGAGTCAGTTACTTAACTGGTGTAAAGGAGAGGGTATTAACCCCTCACATGCTGTTTTGCTTAAGGGTGTCCCTGAAGACACAGAAGTTAGTGTAATAGAGGGCACCGTGCAGACCATTAAAGCTCTTGGACGTGTTAGAGTCAGAGGAAGAACATATGATCCTGTGTCTCAAAGTTTAACAGTTCTTTGTGAGTGCAGGGAAGCCGCAAAGACTGAAGCCATTCCTGCTGATGTTATGCCTGAAGGCAGTGATTCCCCTTGGCGAATCATTAGTCCAGTTGAAGTTGAAAAAGAGAGCCTTCAGCACGGAGAAGCTCCTTCACAAACACCAGACCCAGACACGAGCCAAAATTCGTTTTTCCAATCATCCAGTCCAGAGGCCATAATTAGAGCAGTAGGTGACATCTTACAGCTCACCTCTAAACCAACTAGTGACAGTAGCAGTTACAGACGACTCCGAACATTTTCGGGGGTGCTTCCCACACCGCTGGGAGAGGAACCTTTGGATAACTGGCTAGAGCAAGCAAGACTAATGATTGAAGAGTCAGACAAACCCGACAAAGAAAAGAAAATGAGAATAATGGAGAGTGTAAAAGGTCCTGCCATGGAGATTCTTCAGGCGGTGAGATTTAATAATCCAGACACAACTCCCACAGAATACCTAGATGTTATTGAAAACACGTTTGGCACAACAGAGACGGGAGAAGAGCTATACTTCGCTTTCAGAATGATGTGCCAGCATCCAACTGAGAAGCTATCAGAGTTTCTGAGAAGAATGGAAAGAATATTAAATAAAGTAGTTCAAAAAGGGGGTTTACCACTTGCCTCCAAAGACAAGGCACGCATTGACCAACTCATTAAAGGTGCCATCAGATCTGACATGATGATTTTAAGCTTGAGACTAAGAGAGAGAAAAATTGCCCCGCCAACATTCCTGCAGCTCTTGAATGAGATACGAGTGGAGGAGGAGCATGAGGCCTCCAGACGTAGGCTGAATCCCCCTAAATCTGTGCACGTCAAACGTACTGCTGCAGCTACAGAGATTGAGGCAACAGATCTTGGGGTGGAGGTTGAACGGCTGAGATCACAAGTGATTGAGCTCCAAGCTTTAGCCCAGTCCCAGCGTGCTTCTCCTTCTGCACCTCCACCTGCAATTCAAGCAGAGACAGTTAACTCTGAAGAGGACGGGAGCCTACAAGCTTTTAAAAGAGAGGTTGTAAAACTTAGAAAACAAGTCTCAGCAATGTCAGTCAAGTCTACTGCAGCAACCCAAGAGCTTTTACCTCTCAAAGATACCTCTCCAACTCCTGGGGCGCCGAGGGCATCCATGCCCCGAGACCCCAAAGACATTTTTTGCTACCGTTGTGGGGAGGTTGGGCACATTTCCACTAAATGTACCTCACCCGAAAATTATCCGAAAGTTATTCAGAAGTTGATTCAGGCCCAGAGGAGGGGTAGAGCAGGCCCAGGATGCACAGATGGAAAAAATGTTAAGGCCAATGTGAAAAGGAGTGCTGTGAAGCTACATGCCGATAATCTGCCTAAAGGTTTGGTAGGACCGCCCTCGACTGCTCATGTCAAAGTAGAGGGAAAACCCTGCACGGCTCTTCTAGACAGTGGCTCTCAGGTGACGATTGTTTTTGACAGCTGGTACACAGAACATTTATCACATGTTCCTTTAAATCCAGTGTCAGGATTAGCTATCTGGGGTCTAAGTGAGTCTGAAAGCAGTTACCCATATAAAGGTTATATTGAAGTAGACTTAGAGTTCTCAGAGGAGACACAAAATAAGGTGAAATCTGTTCCGGTTCTTGCCTTAGTATGCCCTGATCCTCGTTGCTCAGACACAATGCCAATCCTCATTGGTACTAATGTTAACAAAGTCTGGTCCCTCCCTTTGAACCGAAAGGCAGCCACCTCCGACAATGTCTATGCTGCACGAGTGGGTGTGACAGATCAGGAA